GGTCGATAATTGATTCGATTTGAGTTATTCAAATCTGAGTATTTTTTTCTGCAAGCGAAGTCAATCTTTTCCACATTTTATTCAAATATTCATTTGCAAGTCGGAAATTCTTCAATTTAAAGCCGTCTTTAATGAATTTCTGTAAAATGATTCTGATTTATTCTTTTCCAGAAAACGGGCTGATCATTGAGAAATCATGCTTATAACAACTCTTCATCAAAAAATACTTTATATATTTCTATCTGCGGACAAATTTGCTGTATTTTGTATCAAGTCTAGAGAAGAATGTCTTCATAATAATCAATGATTTTCGCGTTGAGACCCAAAAAATGGTTACGATCGGAAGTTGAATTGAGTTTGATGTCATCGTGAAATTCTATACATATCGGAAACCGCATATGAATTTTAATTCTAAATTTCAATATCAAAAAAGAATGTCTCGATGAGGAAAAAACTTCGATTTGCGTCATCCGAAAACTTCGGTATTCCACGTTCGACGAGGTCTCAATTTCAATATGTATTTTCGTTTTTTTTTTTCATCATTTTCCTTCATCATATTTTCAAATGTAATTTGATTCGAATTCTTTCATCCTTTTTCCAAATTCAACTGGCGAACAAACTCGCTTTGAATTACTTCCTGAGAAAAAAAAAGAAAACAACAACAACAACGAAAAAAAAAAATAGAAGCAAATTTAATAGAAAAAACACAAGTCTTTTTTTTTGAAGAGAGAAGGTTCCTTTTGATTGATGTGCAGACAAACGGAGACATTTATCAAAATTCGCCGCCGAGTTTCCCTTGGAGACGATCAGATTCGACACAAAACACTTTTGAAAGAAAATTTGTATAGAATGAAGAACGGGATATGAGATTATTGGAATGAGAAGCTTGAAGTCGGGACCCACAAGGCAACTCCCTTGAAGTAGAATGGACCTTTACAATTGAGGTCGATTATGTCGCCTTATTCTCAATTTTCAAAAAAAAATCTGGAATCAATGTGTTTCTGTTAGACACTACCTCCTTTTATGGATGAGGATATATTGTTTAAAAAAATAATTCCCACCAGGAAATCTTACCGTTTGCTCATGTCGATGCACTAAAAATAATTCCCTTGACTATATTTGGCGACGAATCAAGATCACCATTGAGATTGCGAGAAGAAATGGTATTGAAAACTCACTTGGCTCGATAAGCTTCTAAGATTTCCTCGAAGAAAAAAACGTCTATATATTTCTGTTGCTCAATTTTTGAGTAGCACGTGCATTTCATTTCAGTTTCATCATATGCCTGATTTGATTGAAATGCATGCGCCTTTAAAATGGGTCTCGAAGAGAAATTTCCGAATGATTTTCGTTTTTTTGTGAAACATTTTGATCTTCTTCATTCTTGATTTATTCAATCATCTGTCGTGTTCACCTATTCGCTTCTTCTTTTTTTTTTTGAAAATCCAATTTGCCTCGTCACCGACTTTTGAATTCGCCAGTCTGAAACTACGCTCGCGCGCACTTGCCATTCAATTCAATACACTTCTCGTGTATTGTTCTGAAAAGAAAAGTGCCAAATCAAATTGAATCGGTTGCGGCGGACGCGAACAATTTCTGTTTTTTTTTTCGCGAAGAAAAACGAGAAAAAATAGTGGGGGGAAACGGAATTTATTCCTTTTATTTTATTTTTAGACGACATCAAAAGACGAATTGGAAATTCGAAGCAGAAATAAAACCACAAAAAAAGTAACCCGAATATATATGTATTTGTGGATGTGTGAATTCAAACAGGAAAAAATACGACTCGAGAAATATTTTTCATAATTAATCAAAAGTAAGAGTTCCCATCATTTCGAGAAATTTTGAAGCATCTAATTTTTTTAAAACAATTTTTAATAAAAAATACCAAAAGAGTGGATTTTTAAAAAAAGCATTTTTCATTTTTCGTCAATAAAAAAAATCAAAAAATAATAACCAACAGATATTTCATAGAAAACAGAATTTTTTTAGTTGACTATCATTGACTTTGTCCATTTCGATTCATTTTGTCCCATATCGGATCAAATTCGGATCTATAAAATGAGCATCTTGTTATTGACTGTTAGGTTGATGAGCTCTATTAAAATATCCCTGAATCAAGAAAATGCAGAGCAGAGTTGTGCACACTTCCGAACGGGAAATATCAAAGCTCGTCGAGCATCCGAATTGCTCATTTCAATTTTCTTCAGGGCATATTCGAACGAAATCGGGCAACTGAGTCAATTTTCAGTAGATTTCAGATAAACAATTATCCAATGACTCATTGTTCTGATGATCATGTGCTCTCTGTATTCATTCTTTGTGCAAATTCCGCCGTTTTTCTTCACACTTTACAACTGAAAATCTAATTAATAAGAAAACTAAGAAATTGATTGCCTCTCAGCTGTTCAACTCGCCGCATTTTTCATTCTCTCATCTGCAAATTCGCCGGCTAAAAATAAAAATTTGGGGGTTCGTGTACAACCCAAAAATATTTAATAATTCATTTTCTTTAAACTTTTGAACCTATCAGAATCGGGGCAGCAGATTTCTTTCTCAACAATCATTCTCATTGAGTCATGGATTTTTTATTTTCAAGCATAAAAAATTAAAAGGAAAAAAATTGGAATTAATAGAATTCAAATAAAGCATGCATATTATTCATTCAACTTCCACTTTTTTCTCTTAAAAAAATACTTTTATTATTTTATCACGACGCCGATATTTGTCGATATTTCTTTTTTGGTAATAACGAAGATTAGGACCCCCCGCACATACACACGTATATTAGATGACCTCCGAACCTTTCTTTTGTTTCGAAGCACTACCTACGCCTGTAAAACAGGAAGATTTAAAATAACTTAGAAAACCTGATATAGATTAAAAAGAAAACACGTAGAAAACAAAAACTCGGCCATGCAAGCTCGGCCATGCCTGTTCGGCCATGTTCCTGTGGGGGCGGGGGCTCAACTAAGTTTTTTTCCGATATCTTTTCGAATAACCAGTAAATTGCCACCCCAGAAATCTTGTTTATTCGATGAATTCGTTTCTTTTTAAAAACTGCAGAAAGTTGGCTAAATTCCAAATAATTCGAGGAGTGGTATTATGCATAAATCGTCACCTTTAGTTTTGCACCAAGACCACTCTCATTGTTCATTTTTGGGCATTTAGCCAATTTTCCGAAGTCGCGCGACGTCGACAATAATAGACGCTGAAATTGTCAAGCTATCGCAAATAACTATCCAACATGTAATTATGAGAATTCGAAAGATTCTCTGATTCTCATTTTGGATACTTTCGAGTTCCAGCTGCTCCATCTCATGGTCTCTCTCACCCATTTGGACCGGCGGCTCCAGTTTCCAAAATTGGTGGAACTGTGAATCCGGTTTGCTGAGCCATCTAATTTTTTATTCTTGCTTTTTTTGTGATTCGGTGTTTTCCTGCCACCCACCGAGGAAATTTTCACAGAATTTCACCTGACCAATTTCTGACCGGTAAAAAAAACCTTTGTCTGGAAAAGGAAACAAATTGTATATCCAGAACTACACATTTTTTTCCTACTAACTCACGTGTCAATCATGCTACAAAAAATTGCTCATTTCTTCTCAAATCTGACATTTCATTTTCGTTTCAAAAACACAACAGTCGACTATAAATAATATGTTGCTGACCTGCTTTAATCCGCTTTTCGTTCTAAAAATAAAAGCGATTCCGTTATCGTTGATTTCATGATTTCACCACAAAATTTTTTTTTGAAAATTTTCCGCTGATAGCGCGGTGGTTATTTTTTAAAGGAACATGCACACACTCGATTATTTTCCCATTCGATCAAAAATTATTCCACTCGTTTCAGGGCTTCATTGGAATAATGCGAACGTTCCCAGCATTGATTGTTTTCTTTTTTTGTTTTGAAGCTCTTCGAAATAGCTTTTTTTGGTGTTTATGTGTGCACCGATTTGAACCTCTTGTTTGATTCGATTTGCGACGTAGTGTCTATTTAATTCCTCAAAATAAGTATGCATAAAGGTGTGAATGAATAAGATCGGCCAATCGAGCAAAATGTTTTGATGTCGCTCGAATCCGAATTTGATTCATTAAAGTAGTCAGTCTGAATACCTTCTGAATAATCTCGCATTGCGTTTCACTGAGATCTTGTCGCTAGAATTAATTTTGAAGTGTGGTCTACCCACAAAAATTTTTATAACAGTAAATAGCTTAACGCTTAATTTTTTTGTGTCGAGACCAATTTTAAGCATGCTCGTGACATTACACTTCAAAATTTCAACAATTTTTATGAAAACCATAAATATGATTTAATTGATATTTTCTAGCTCTTAGTTGTTCATGTGCCTTTAAACAACACATTCCATCTTGAAAATCTATTAGTTGAATTTCATGAGATCGGAAAATCATACGATCTCTTCAAGACAATTTTATCGGTATTGTAGAAAACAAAAAAGAAATGATAGACGACTCATTCATTCAACATTCTCGAATAAAAAACGGAACAAATTGAGCTGCACAAGCAGAAGCTCAAAAGAGTTCGTAGTTGTTTTTTGCGGCGGTAAAGATTTATTGTATTCCAACGAACTACAAAATTTATTTCGCAGTCATTCTTTTTCCGTCTTTCTCTTTTCTTTTCATTTTATTTTTTCATTTCTTGCTCTCGAATTCGGTTGATTATTAAATGAACAAAAATGAGTCGAGGTGGGGGGTTGCTAAGCGATCGTTTTCTTGGGTTTGTGATGGGAAAAAATGCGTCGAGAAAATGGGAACAAACAATATTTTTTGCAAGAACCGCTTGGTACCTAGTCAAATCAAACTAATATCGACTCGGGAGATTTCGAGGACCATCATCATTTAGCTAGTTTATGTGTCGTTCTTAAAGAAAAAATATTTGTGCCCGAGTTTTGCCTTATTAGGGACCCTTCAAAACAATTACTTTTCTTGTCATTCGTTTAATGAGTTTCTTTTTCTATCTTTCTTTTTTTTGCAGTGTAATGAGTGATGTGAAACGCTCATTACTTGACATGAGCCCCGGTGCTATGACCGACGACGTCGACGAGGAGCCGGAAGAGATTCCCGAGAGCAATGAGACGTTCTCCGAGTTCTGTCAAAGTGAGTTTTATTCATTTTCTCGCAATTGCAATAAATTGAAATTGCAAGAAACACATTTGGGAGTGCTGAGAAAAAATTGAGATATAGATTTTTCTGAAAAGAAAGCACCTATGCAAAATTACGGATGTGGTGCAAGAATACAGAGTTGACGTCATCAATTTCACTGCAAATTGTTCAGCTTCGAACAAGCTGATTTGAGATGGTTTTCTGAGATTTTCTGTTGAATCTTCAGGCCCCTAGAATTAAATTTTGCCAAAAATGTAGTCTCCAATGCCGTGCTAGTTCTAGTTGGACCAGGAGATTCACTGACTAATAACAGGAAAACTGAACGTTGGAGAGCCAGACACAATTTGAAGATTATAATATATCTTGTACTAATTTAATCTAGTTTGAATTGGGACTCACAATTATTGATCACGGGGGAATGGGGGGATTTCGCTGGCCGACTAAATATACAGTACCGCTCAAAAGGTTGGAAACTTTTGGTTTTTGGGCATAACTTGATCGAAACCGTATGGATCGAGGTGAAACTTTCAGATATATTGATAAATATAATCAGAAGATTATTGGTACGGTTGTCTTATCATATGCAATTATGTGTGAAGTTTTTGTTGGTTTTTTTCATTTTTTTCAAAAATCACTTTTTTCAATTTTTTTTTCAAAAGTTTTTTTTACTATTTTTCTGTGCTTTTTTTGCATGCCGTTATTATTTTTGTAATTTTAGACATGTCCACTATCGAAAAAAATCGGAACTTGGTTGTTGAACAATAACGGGCAATTTACGCAGGGCGTCAAACAGGAGCAACCCTGCAGATGTTGGCCGCCCAGTTGGATATCACAAAAACTTGCATTTTCAAATGTTTGAAAAGATGGGGAAACTCAAGGAGAGGTCCCAAAGAAGTTCCATATTGGACGACCACGCGTGACAGATCGTGCGACTGATAGAAGCATTGTACGAGCCTCCAAATTCAACCAGCGAATGACGGCACCGGCGATCCAGCTCGAAGTTTTTGCGAATTCTCCATCGCCTGTTTCGATATCAACAATCAAACGCCGTTTATCAATGGCAGGATTGCTCAGAAGATAACCAGTGAAGACACCGTTCATTTCGGAGAAGAATAGACGACGCCAGGTCGAGTGGGATAAGCAACATTTGAATTGGACGCGATTTGACTGGAATGGTGTTCTTTGGTCGGATGAATGCTCGTTGGAAGTGACGGAATTCAATCGGTCCGCCGTCCTGTAGGTTCTCGATACAATCCCAAGTATCAAACTCCTACCGAAAAGCACGGGGGAGGAAATTTCATGATTGGGGGTGCCTTTTCCGGAAAAGGCTTCACCATGTGAAAACAATCATGGATTGCTTCGTCTATAAGGAGATCCTGAAGAAGCAGATGTTGCCGCATTTTAAGGCAATGGGTCGTGGTTGTGTTTACCAACGGGACAACGACCCAAAGCACACTTCCAAATTTGTGAAATTAAGAAAATTCGCTTTTTTTTCAAATATTCATAAATTGAGGATTGGTTCGCAAGTCAGCACATCAAGGTTATGGACTGGCCAAGTCAATGCCCGGACTTGAATCCCATCGAGCACTTGTGGGAAGAGTTGGAGAGAAGAGTGGCAAGCAGAACTGCCACAAATTCGAACGAAAAGTTCCGACAATCGGAAGAAGAATGGAAAAAGATTCCACTCTCGGTCATCGGCAACTTGATTGACTCCATGCCTCGCAGGTGCCAGGCGGTTATTGACTTCGGAGTATTCACAATCAAGTACTAACCTTATAATTTTAGTTTCCAATGATTTTGTCTTGATAAACTATCTTTCCGGTAAAAAAAAACCGACTTAAATTGCATATCCAAAAAAATGTGTTTTTACGGATTTCTGGAAAAATGGCCTAAAATCCTTATTTGGTAAGCACGAATCATTTTTAATAGCTCATTATATCGGCAATTGCGTAAGAAACAATCGGAAAAAAAGTTCGTGGAAAAAAGTTTGATTTCAAAAAAGTTATGCCCAAAAAACCAATAGTTTCCAACCTTTTGAGCGGTACTGTATTCAGCTTGAGTGCATTTAAAGTTGATCTGTTTTATTTCTCAAATTTGCTGATTTTCAGGACAAGCTCAAAATGTAGTTCATTTCCTTGTCGAAGATTGGTTCCTCTCCGCCTTATTAGGCATCATCACCGCCGTTCTATCAGTTGGAATGGATGTGGCAATTGAAATTTTACAGCACGGTTCGCTTATTTTCTCATTCAAATTGATCTCAACAAGTGTTTTTTTCGAATTGTTCAGCCCATGTGACATTATATGATAAATTCCTGAAGATTTCCATATATTTCGCGTTTACTCAATGGGTCGCCCATATTGCGGTGCTCACCGCGTGCTCGGCAGTATTCTGTCAAATTGTCTCCAAACAAGCCGTTGGTATGCTGGAATTGTTGAAATTGGTTGCGATTCTTGATAATTCTAGGGTCCGGAATACCGGAAGTCAAAGTGATAATGCATGGCTTCAAAATGGAAAATTATTTGACGCTGCACACATTGATTGCCAAAATGGTCGGATTGACGTTCGCGATGGGCGGCGGACTTCCGATTGGAAAAGAAGTTGGTTGATCTCTCGTTTCATTCTTCTAACCAAACAAAAAAAGAGAAAATTGAAATCAAGACTAAACTTTGGACAAAGAGTCTATCAAATTCTCGTGGGAATTTTTCAATGAAATGTTTTGGACCTTCCTTTTTTCTTGGAAAATTCCAATGAAATGCGTTACAGGGACCATTTGTGCACATGGGGGCCATTGTCGCAAATCTACTGTCGAAAATCACGTCAGCCTGTCAATACTCGGCGTTTTTCTCAAATGAAGGTTTGGTCTCGTTCTTGGAAATCAAGGCCCGCATCCTAATTTGGCTATTCACAAAGAAGCTTTTGCAAAAAAGGGGAATTGTTGGAACAAAAAGTTGAAAAAAAAACATGTTGTAGGAAGGGAGATGGAAATGCTATCCAGCGGTTGCGCTGTCGGAATTGCTTGCACATTTTCAGCTCCAATTGGAGGTATTTCTAGAAAATTAAAATTAATAAACTGAAAAATGAAAAAAAAAATCCAGCGGTTCTTTATGCTATCGAATCCACTTCCAAATATTTCGCCGTCAAAAATTATTGGCGAGGATTTTTGGCGGCAACGTGCTCGGCGATCATCTTCCGTTTCGCCAACTTTTTCGTCACCGCTGAGCAATCAGGTTTGGCTCGAGCGACGAACTCACACCAATTCCAATTAAGGCACAATCACGGCGTTCTATCAGACGCGTTTTCCCACCGATTGCTTTCTCATCGAAGAACTTCCGGTGTTCCTTTTGCTTGGTTTTATTAGTGGAATAATGGGCGCATTATTCATATTTGTGCATCGAAAGATCTCGATATTCCGCGCGAAGAATCGAGTGTACAAGGCGATATTTCGGAATAAGTGACGGCCGATTTACTCACCAATTTTGACACCAATATCCATATTTCAGCTTTTTGGCGTTCACTGTTTTCATGGCAGTTGTCGTCGGTGTGTTGACATTTCCGGATGGACTTGGCAGATATTTTGCGGGAAGGGTGGGAAAACCAAATGCTCCGAGAGTAAAAAAAGAGACTTTAGCTGTCATTTCGAGAAACCATGGGAGATTTGTTCAACAACTGCACGTGGAGTGTGAATGATTCAAGAAGGTTGGCACCCATTGAAGATACCATTTACTTTCGCTGTTTCAGATGTCCTGATTCGATTCTGAAACATTGGACCGGCGGAGGAAGTGGAGATGTTTCTGTATTCACAAGTCTAACTCTCTACTATCTTGTATATGTAAGTTTAAAATAAAATCCATTCGCAGATGATTCTTCAGTTTTTCCTTGTCGCCATTTGCATTTCAATCAACGTTCCGGCTGGAGTTTTCGTTCCTTCTTTCATTATTGGAGCCGCTGGCGGCAGACTGAGTTGGCTTCTTCTTTTAAACTCGCTTCTTGACTTTTTTCGTTTTCAGTGGGTGAAGCCATGCTCTACTTTTTCCCTGACGGAATGCGAGGATCTGGGGGACCTCCGATTCATCCTGGATTGTACGCTGTCGTCGGTGCTGCTGCATACACGGGCGCTGTCACGCACACTATATCGGTGTCGGTCATCATTTGCGAATTGACGGGACAACTTTCTCCAATCCTTCCTGTTCTGGTAACTCAAGTCTTCTGACTAATTTAATAATTAATTTTAAGATTGCCATGCTAATGGGCAACGCCATTTGCAAATTCTTACAACCATCAATCTACGAATCGATAATCCGTGTCAAGAAGTATCCATACCTTCCGGATCTGCCTCCATCTCGTGTCAGTGTTCACACTGTCAAAGTGGAGCAGCTCATGGTTACTGATGTCATTTATATAACTAAGAACATGACATACCGCGAGATGAAGGATATTCTCCAGCTCGCCCCTCATCTTCGCAGCTTCCCGATTGTCACCGATCACGAGAACAAGATCCTTTTGGGATCTGTCGCCAAGCGATACCTTACCATGCTCCTTCGTCGCCATGTGCTCATTACGCAACAGGATAGTCGCAACAGCTCGCGAATCACTCCTGCCGAGATTTTCAACACTATTCGACGAACAAGCATGAGATTGTCTCGAAGATCGGCACACCGGCGATCAACGAGCTCAACTCGTGAGGCGTCGGCAACTATGGAATCGGCAAGAAGTGACAACACCGATCAAGTGGAGCTCATGTCGGAGAGATCTATTGGCGGAAACACGCTCCTCTCAATTTCTCCTCTTCATGCTCCCAATAATGTACCGCTTCAAGCAATTTTCACTCGACCAGTTTCAGCGGATTTTCACAAAGAAACAAACACTGACGTCCTATTGGACCGAAATATCGACCTTGATGAAGTCGCTATTGATTCGGCACCATTCCAGCTCGTTCTTGGATCATCACTATACAAGGTAAGAAGAAATATTTTCATCTAATCATGCTGATGATTTAAAGGTTCATACTTTATTCTCACTTCTCGGTCTTTCGCATGCCTACGTCACAGATTGCGGAAAACTTGTGGGTGTCGTTGGTCTCAAAGAGGTTTTTCGAATTGCCAGTATTAATTCAAGTCGAGAATTTCAGCTTCGCGATGCTCTGGCAAACATTTATGTCCGTGGTGTAGTTGCTCCAGCGAAACCCGACCGAAAACTAACTTCCGGTGCTTTTATCGATTTCCAATCGGTAGATCAACATTCCAATCATTATTCTTGAATTAATTCAGAAGGAACCATCTACAAATGGAAATCTAATAACAACCGAGTCACCCAAATTCGGAAACTCGTTAACTGTCCCAATGGCGCTTTGATTATATCTCTCTGATCAATTTTCTTCCCTAATGCGAGTATTTTATTGCATCCCTGTTCAGTGTTGAAATTCCATTCATTTTCATACGTAGCAATGTCATATTTAGGGGGTAGATTTTCACGGTTATGCCCATATTCATTACAATCGCCAAAAAAACGAGCCCCTTCGTTAATAAATTCCTCCACGATATTCCGATTGTTTAAAGCGAAATTTTAAACATCAAATTTGAAAAAAAAATGTACTCGATTTTTTTGCGATGGTAATAATTTTCAGAAAAGAAGAGAAAATTCTCATATTTAGAACAAACATTTAATATTACGTGAATTTTTTTTTACAATTTTGCCAATAAAGTTATTTATTTCATTGTTGAATAAGTGGTTTGAGAAAAAATGCGTGGTTTGGTCAAGTAGGTGAAAGATTTAAAAGCAGTCTTGGACTGATTTTTGAAGGATAGCATTAACTGCGTTAGTCGGAATAACGGTTATAATTGCTGCAATTGTGTATCAGAATAATAGTCGAAGGAAACCGGGAAGAAAAATAAAAAGAAGTGAGCAATTTGGAGAAAATTGGACCATTTTGAACGAATTTAGGAAAGACTTCGTCGAGTAGCGAAGGAATTGAACAGTCAACGGACACGTCGAAGGCGACGGAAAATAAGAAGAACAAGGATGAAGTAGCGCCTAGTTGAGATCATTTATTTGAATATTCCAATTCAGGCTCGAAAAAAGAAAAAGAAGACGGAGACGGCAAAGGAATCGACATCGCACCTTATCGGAAGTCCTTCAGAATCGGATATGCTTGACTTAAAGGGTCAATCATTGTCTTTCAAGCAGTGTGTTTATGTGGAAGCTGGAACTGAAAAGAGCGAGAAAAACAGTTTGAATCAAAAAAATTCGACTGGCAAGTCTATTAGAGCTGATGGATCCTCTAAAATTGAACAGAAAACACCTTGCGAACCAATGATGGTTGGACACGAAATGAAGCATGAATCTTCGTCAGTTGAGAAACCCGATGAAGCTCCTAAAGCAGAAGAAAAGAAGCCCGACTCGCCGACACTTGAAGAGAAGAAGTCTGTGGAACCAAATAAAGTAGCTGCGAAGGTTGAAGAGAACAAGATCAGTGAAGTCAAAACCACTCAAATTCCATCACCAGCCACTGAACTTTCCAAATCCGAGGAGAATAAACCAGCCGAGCCAATAAATGTGGAAGAGAAGAAACCGGAAGACAAAAAACCTGATGCGCATCCGCCGGTCGTAGAAGCGCAAAAAGCAGAAGAACCACCTAAAATGGAAGAGAAGAAAATAGAAGGTAAAGCCAATGAAGGCTCAAAGCCTGACGAGAAGAAACTCGAAGATTCTGTGAGAATGGATAAAACGCAAACTGGTCCAGTTGATGTTTCGAAAAACGAAGAACCAAAAATTGAGGAAGTGAAATCAGATGTAACTCCCGAAGCACCGAAAGTCGAAGAGAAAAAAGCTGAATTGCCGCCGCCGCCTGAAGCAGCTAAAGAAGAAAAGAAGAATGTTGAAGCTGCTCCAGCAACTGAAGAGAAGAAGCTTGAAGTTCCAGCATCAACTGCAGAAGCTCCGAAGGCAGAAGAAGCCCCTAAACTTGAAGATAAGGCAAATGAAGGCTCAAAGCCTGACGAGAAGAAACTCGAAGATTCTGTGAGAATGGATAAAACGCAAACTGGTCAAGTTGATGTTCCGAAAAACGAAGAACCAAAAATTGAGGAAGTGAAATCAGATGTGACTCCCGAAGCACCGAAAGTCGAAGAGAAGAAAACTGAATTGCCACCAACTGAAGCAGCTAAAGATGAAGAGAAGAATGTTGAAGCTGCACCAGCAACTGAAGAGAAGAAGCTTGAAGTTCCAGCATCAACTGCAGATGCTCCGAAGGCAGAAGAAGCCCCTAAACTTGAAGATAAGGCAAATGAAGGCTCAAAGCCTGACGAGAAGAAACTCGAAGATTCTGTGAGAATGGATAAAACGCAAACTGGTCAAGTTGATGTTCCGAAAAACGAAGAACCAAAAATTGAGGAAGTGAAATCAGATGTGACTCCCGAAGCACCGAAAGTCGAAGAGAAGAAAACTGAATTGCCACCAACTGAAGCAGCTAAAGATGAAAAGAAGAATGTTGAAGCTGCTCCAGCAACAGAAGAAAAGAAGCTTGAAGTTCAAGCATCAACTGCAGATGCTCCGAAGGCAGAAGAAGCTCCAAAGCTTGAAGAGAAGAAACTAGAAGATAAGGCAAATGAAGTCTCAAAGCCTGACGAGAAGAAACTCGAAGATTCTGTGAGAATGGATAAAACGCAAACTGGTCCAGTTGATGTTTCGAAAAACGAAGAAAAGGAAGTGAAATCAGAAGTGACTTCAGAAGCGCCGAAAGTCGAAGAGAAAAAAACTGAATTGCCTACAGAAGCTCCTAAAACGGAACAACAACCAAAAGTTGAAGATAAAAAAATGGAAGTAGTCGAAATTTCAAAGACTGAAGAAGAGAAGTCGGATGATGGAAAAAAGGGGAAGTCGAGTGAAAAAGGAATTTCGTCCGAAACATCAGTGACACCATCGGTTTTCGATATTCACATAACGTTTCGAAAGAAAATCATTTATTTACAGACAGCGAAACCAATGGGATCTCCGAGGCCCTCGATTGGGACTATTGAGGACGGGTGAATTCTAGACAATCTATATATAGCAAAAATAATCATTTCAGAAGATCGAGTAAGACAAAATTGTGCCGATGCCGAAATAAGAACCATGGAGACACAATTCCTGATGAGAAGCTGCCCAAATTTGACGAAAATGCCAAACCGAAAGTCTCGCCAACTAGGGTGATTTTTTTGGATGATGATCTCTAGAGATAATCGCAAATTCTAGGTGCTTCCTGCGAACTTTTCAAAGTACGAACCGGCCAATTTGCTGCTTCCACATGGCGGTAGTTCAAATTTAATAATTTTTATGAGGGAGAAGGTTTAGATTTGAAAGAATTATCACCAGCTTGCTTTGTGGAACCGGAAATTCCCGAAGATGTATGATTCTTTATTTAAACACGAATCTAGAAGGTGTTTCTTTGATTTACAGAATTATCTAACACCGCTCAACCCGATGATCAATACAATTCACGCAGCTCATCAACACTCGTGTCTCATCAGCCATTTAGTCGAAAACTATGATTTTTTCGAATAAATTCAAGAAATTGTTTTATTAAATTATTAGATTAATTATTAGCTGGAAATTATTAAACATTATTAACCAACCATTGTTGGATTCAATCTGTTCTGCATGAGTCTTTCCATGATCTTATCCTTTCCAACGACGAACAAGTTCACGTTCGGCACAACGTGACCGTATTGCATGTGGCGATCCGCCATGAAATTGAGATATTTGAAAGTGTACGGTGCTCGCTCGTTCGGATCTGCTAGCGTCAGTGGGAATTCCATGGCGCTGTTGAGGATGCCGTTTCCGTTTCCTATAAAATATTGCACAATTAATTGAATCACGTTAATTCACTTTTTTTTACCCTTGATCATGAACCTTCCGTCAAAATCGAATAACTCGTTTACGCCGGGAATTGGTAGATTAAAGTTTCCGGAAATTTCCTTGATTTTCGACAAGTCGTATTCTGATCCGACAGTGAATGCAGTAATGAACGGCTGGTACATTCCATCATTACTATTGAATGGCGCGTCCGCATAGCCGTCGAAATTCTTACGAACATTTAAACCATGATTGTTGATACCGTTTATTGCAAATCCAGTACCCCATGAATCGGTGAGATCGTCATTAAAAGCAGCCGCGAACATGTGTGTGAACGGGTTGAACGCAGATCTGAAAATTGAACCAATTGGCAAAACATTTGAATGCCCGGAAACCTTCCAGAAAATCGGGCGATTTGTCCTGGAAGATGCACATCGGGCACAGAAGCCGGCTTCTGACCAGCCTTGTCTCCGGCCAGGTATAAGCCTGGAAAGAATGGTCCCGATCTCTCATCAGTCATTCCAGTCGGAAGCTGCAGCAAACCAAGTCCACGAGGTCGATCACGAATGAACGGAGCTGAAAGGCCAAACGTCGAAAACGTTCAATAAATTCCAATAATCCGTTGGCTGTAAAATTCGGGAATCTGGATTTTTTTAAACGCAGACTTCCTTGATCAGTTGAATGGGAGGATAATTTTATATAATGTAGTCTATTTAAAATGATTTTTTTAGTTTTGGCTCACGAAATCAATATGTACGTATCTCGATTTAGCAAAACAATCCATTCGTTATACTACACTACGTAGTTTTGACACAGATTCTCTCATCGGATCTTTGTCATCTGAAGATCAAATATTCGCCGCAATTTTTCCGATGATTTTTTATTAGGAAAAATTAAGCAAACTAAATAATATCAACCAAACATCACATTCTTAATGGATCGAGGGAAACGAGAATTTTCGCCCAGACGCCCGTAACGATATTTATCATATAAACTTTTTTTAATGATTAAAGATTATTGTTGAACATTTATCAATCATATTTTAAACTATTATTGGAATTTAATATCATTATAATAATGATTACTATTAAAGACCACGCAAACATAGGCAATCATTTTTTAAATGACTGCATCACGAATACATAATATGTGAATAATGATGGTCAATTAATAAGTTTCGTAGTACAACAACAATATTATTGGCAATAATACCTCGTGCTCGAGCTAGCTCCACACAGCAGACGACGGCCAGCCACCAAGTGCGCATCGAACAAATGGCATCGATTACAAAAATCATTGCATCGCGGCTTATTCGAGAAGAACAAGAAGAAACAAGCGAATCTCATTGGGACAACAGCCTCGCAGAGAAGACAATCGATCGAGGCCGACGAATGGCCATCCAATCTATTATCACTATTTTCGGCTTCGATCGCATCTGCCACACGACGGACGACGACGATGAACTTTCAAAGATTACGCGCAAGAACCAAAGTCGCATTCGGGTTTTCTCGATTCATTCAATCATAAAAAACGAGAAAAAACGGGAAAACTTGTTTAGCACGAGAACGGTTTGCTCATGTCGGCATCATATTTCTCTTTCGCCTTCTTGCTTTTTTCCTGGCTTTCCCGAAAAAAAGAACGAATAAATGATTAGGTGATAGTGATCGTTAATGTTTCAAATACCTTCTTGTCTTGTTCCGGATCGGCAGCTTTCAATTCGACGTCTTGCGCGGCGTCCATTGATGGACTGGCGCCATTCTAAACGAAATCCCATGATTCTTTTTTGAAAACGTGTGAAACAATTGAGAAAATACGCAAACAACGGCGTTTCTGTTGAAATTCTTATGCAAATTTTTAATTTTGTTTTTTTTTATATTGTCGAAAGTGCGCGACTGCGATACATTGGTAAAAAGCTAACAAGGAAAAGCGGTGTGTACTCTTCACGGACAATACCACGCTGAGTAAAAATCACCCCCCTAACAAGCGGGTATGACTCAATTCTCGAATAAATCGCGTCATCGGCAGTCGCACGACTTCGACAATACTTTTTTCGCAAAATGTTTCCTAATTCCTTTTAAATTTCAAAAATTAGTATTAAAAAAAAACAAAAAAAAAAGTAGCATAAAAGAAGCTCAAGATGAAGCCATTTTTCAGGTCAGATTTTTTAAAATGACTTTGAAAGAAACCTTTTCCATCTGTTCCATTTCTTTGGCCATCTGACATGCCTTCTGATACATGTTCTCATAATGCTGAAAATGTCGAAAATCATGAGAATTTCACTTATTAAAATGTTCCACCGCGTCTCGAGCATTGGTGAACGCATTCTTCTCTTTCGGCGCTTCGTGATTTTCAGTTCCCTCGGCGATTGTCACAGCAGGTGTCGGAGGATCGGCCTAAATTGCTGATCAAATTAATACGTAGGCGCCCGCCGACTGTTGTAGTTTTACGGAGTGTCTTTCGAAATGGTCTCGCCACATGTGAACGCGTAGTTCGTTGTTTTCACTTTAACTTTTTTTTTCTTAATGAGCATATCATTCCCTTGGATATTAAATATCACTTAAATTTAAAATTAGCAGAATGGCCTCTAAAAAACAAAATAATCCGTTAATCCTCGTGAGACCACGCACACCGTAAATCCACCCGCGTATAACAGTCGTCGGACGCCGACTATAATTCAATTTAATACCACAAACAAATGCCCATGGGTTCGAGCCCGTGGCTGATAAGTCTCGAGAACATTGGCAACGTCGAAACAAGCTCTTCGCGAACGCGTCATTGACATAAAATGAACATTGAACCACTGAAACTGGATTTGAGAAGAACACGTAGAATTAGTGCAACAATTGAAATCCAAAGCAGACCGACCTCAAACATAAAAAGCGCGATGAAAATTCCAATTCCCGATCCAATGCTGCATAAGGACGATGAATTGCACATGATGGAAGCGATTTGAAGAACAACGGCACCGGTGACAAGTGTCGAAAGGCATGTGTTAAACGGAACCCTAGAATCATCGATTATTTTTGCAGAACGTTTCACCCAAACTAATCCCATTCTTGACTCATCGAAACTAATGATTATTTTATCATGGACGGCCTTTTCGCAAAATTCAAAAATTACTTCATCTTCAACTGCCGAAAATTGGCAAAATGTGCGACAATAAAATCGCTTCGAAACAGTCTTACGAAATTTCGGTCAAAACATTGGTCTCCGGAGGACCAAAAACGGATAATATTCGCATTCGCTTAACGGTTTCTTATTTTAAAGGGATAAGGTGAGGCGAAACTGCTAAATAGCATAGAAAAACACAAGACGCAGAAAAAATAAGAAAAGAATGACAATTCTTTTGTGGTGGAAAAATGACGAATGTGAAAACTGCAGCGATATCCGATGCATTGTGTGCGTACACCGAGATATTTCTGTGTTTTCTTGGCGAATTTATGGTTTTATGTATACTGTTGTAATGAAAAAGTGTAATAGTGATAATATTTGTATATTATTCAAAGTTAATTGTTTTATATAAAAAGAAACGATCAACAATTAATTAAATAATTTTCAGTTGAGATTACTGTAAGATCGTGATGTGCGACTCGGTGTACGCACACAATGCATAGGATATCGCTGCAGTTTTGCCCATTTGTCATTTTTCCACAATACGTATAGTTGGCGTCCGGCGACTGCTGTATGCGGGTAGGGGATGCGTCTTTCGAAATGGTCTCGCACGGACTAACTGGCTATATTGCATTTTATGGGTCGATTCGATAAGTTTTAAATCGAACGACATTAGAAATTCCATGAAATGCCAAACTCATCAAGAAAAAATAAATTGTTCAAAAACAGTAAAATTGGCGTTCACGTGACGAGACCTTTTCAAGGCGCATGCGCGTAAATCTACCCGCGTACAGCAGTCGCATGACGCCGACTATAAATTTTTGCAAAAAAAGCTCATAAGATGGGTATTGTCGTCAAATTAAATGCATAAGTCTCTAGATGATTATCTCACTGTGTTTCTAACTAGCTAACAGGACTTAAAACATATAATTCCGAAGAAAACGGCTACCGGAATTTTTCATTCGTATTTTTTTCAATTAGCATTTATTTTTGCAAATTTTAAGAACAAAAATTGAGCTTTTAAAAATCTTAAAAAATGTTTCATTTTTTAATAATTATGAAATCCGTAATATTTTTTTATTTTCCAGACACAATCCGTTTTTATTTTCATGTATAACTTGAAAATATAAAAAATTTAATTTCTGATTCACACGATAGTTGTTTGATTTCCAGGTGCTCTACTATGCCTACCAAATGTGTTATAATTTATCAAATTGTGAATGCTTGGTCAAAATTCGCCTTACGTGTTTTGGGCCGGCGGTCTTCGTGGTGCCTTGCTAGAGAATGCCGAGTGCACAGTTTTCGATTGCGATGAATTTTCTACGAAAAAAAAGAGCACAAAATTTATTATTTTGAAATTCTGTCGAAAAAAACAAAAAGAGAACGAACCAGAATTAGAAGCCATAATTTCGTGTTGGACAGAAAAAATGAATGAATTTGTTGGCAATACTCAATAAACGTTTCACGTTCACATTCACCATTATTTTATTGGAATTCAAAAATATAAAGAAGAGCAACCGGTAGATCAGAATTGAATCGGTATGAGGTTCACTTCTTCTTGAGACGCGGACTCGCTCTCGGGCTGATTCGCGGCGACGACGACTTCTTTCGCGATGACGACGACGACGTCGAGTTTGACGGCTTCGGAATCGATTGCGTGAATTTGCTCAATGAGATTGAGATCATTCCGTTATAGTTTTCTGAAATTTGCGATGATTCAATTGCATGTCGCACTCAATTCTAAGTATTCCACCTGATGAAATTTCACCGAATTTCTTTTTTTTTTTCAAATATGTTTTCTGTGAAATTTTAGCTTCTTGCGTGCGAAATTCGATATTACCTACTCTTTGGGCTTTGCTCTCAAAAGATTGAAGGATAATTTCTCCGAAAATAGGCATAATAGCACATTTTTTGTTTATTGAATCATCATGTCACAGGTTTCGCGATTCATTGATTTGGAGCACAAGCAGCTGCCTGCTGAGCATTCCGAGCAATTTTTTGATATGCAGATGGAATTTTTGCAGAAAACCGTGAAGTTTAAAGTGCAAAAAATCAATCGAAAGGAAAAAGCAAACGATGATAGAAACTAAAAAAATCGGAAAAAAATAATATGTTATTTGGGGGAGGAGAAAAACTAGAAGAATATATTTAAAAAATCTGCGTATTGTCGTAAAATAAAATGCACAAGTCCGCAATCGTTGTAATTTATGTCTATTTTCAATATTTCTTCCCATTTGTACCCTTTATAATTGGACTCTTCGCGAATTTGAAACTGTCAAAAATGATCAATCATCAGAAAATTACGAGAATTAAAATAGCCGTCGAATGAAATGCATTCTGTGTAAACACGCGGCACCTTCAGTTAAGGAAGCTCGTGTTTCAATTACAGTCTGCTTCCGGAAAAAACGTGAATCGACCGTTTCAAGCAGCGATAAAAATGCGTGCGTTTTTCATCTAAAAACATCATCGAATTTCGAAGACTCGTCAAATATTCTTGAAAAAACCATCGATTTCGGGTCTTTTCAATTTTTTATTTTATTTTATTATTTTTGATATTCGAATCTCAAGAAATTTCCATGAAAATTATGAGATTCAATTTTGCAATAATAAAATAAAATAAAATGAGTTGGGTCTTTTAGCGAAAAAATGTTAAAATGGATGAAAACCGCTAAAAATATTGTCACGGACTTATGCATTTTATTTGACGACAATACCTTTGTTGTTGACATCTCATTTGTTTTGCTCAGCAACCAAATAACATAGAATTTTCGTTTTTTTTTCTGCTTCTTTTGCCGATGGACTTACGCTGCTTCAGTCAATTTCCGGTTTTTTTGTAATAATCAAAAAATGTTCATTTCATTCTCACAAAATTTATTTTTCGGAAAAGATTGGACGATGACTAACAATTTCGTTGGGAAACTCAATATTCACACAATATGGGAGACCTTGAGCATATTAATTTCATATTCTAGTGTGGCTGAAAATCAGTCGGTTTGGTTTTCAAAACATACCAGCTTCACTCTTGTCGTTTTGCGGTCGCGGTGTGTCAACGAGCACTTGCGGCGGTACGAGATTCGTGCTCATTTTGCTGGTCTGCAACTAAAATGGCGATTATCCAATGAGTAATTGACAATGGTATGGAATAAAGTCGAGTGGTGTGTGATAAGCGAACGAAACAAATCACATGCGCGAGGCGACGAGACACTGGCAGTCGCCGTCGGTCGGTCGGTCGGCTCTGCGCGCCGCCTTCTAATCATTCCTCCTCCTTCTTTTCTTTTCGAGACACTTTTCCGCCTCCCCCCCCTCTTCTCCAACAACAAAAAAACACACATTTTCAGATTTATGAATATATATGTTTTCTAGAAGAAAAAAAAATGGATGGTGTTGTGAAATTCGGAAAAAATAACACGATTGTTTGCGCACACATGCACGCGAAGGTAATTCGAGTTTTTGTGTGCGCCTTTTTCTGCGCTGCCGAAATGGGCGGCGCTTATCGGACCGCCCGTCGCTCGACGGATTTCCGGGTAAAAAATGAACGAGCCGCCCGTATCAATGGATGTGATAATGATTTGGAGGCGATATTGACGATGCTTGAAATTTGACTGAAAATTATTCAAGAGTGCAGTGTCCGCAGATCAAATTGTATTTGTATTTTGTGCGGGAGATTGCGAATGCAAAAAAGAGCTTTGGATACTAGGTGATAGCATTGTTTCTCATTCCTCCTGGATTTTGAAATTAATGAATCGAGCTAAACAATAAAAAATGCAATCGCAGTCCGGATAGTTCAGTTATAGACGTTTGAAAATATTTCTTCCAAAAATCTTCTAGAAATTGTAATATATGCATATTAGGCCGAAAATGAATAAAACACAAGATATAAGAACGACAACAGAATCAATAAAAAATTCTGTCTGATAGCGTGATAATACGAATAATGACGAATCGTGTCGGCTGCTTACGATTGTTTTCCAACTCGACGAAGACGATGAGTGATAGAAGTTCATTCAGAAAACAATTTACATTGATGCGTGAAGTACATTATCGACCAAAAAAAAAACGTAATTCTAATGCATTTTTCGAACAGAAAAAAAAACAAAAAAATATCATGAAAGGGGAATTGTGTTTTAAAACAAAAGCTTGTTTTTTAATATCTGGAAATACCAAAAATCGGGCGTTGAGAAATTCATGCCACCTGACCTACAATGTCTCGCGGGTTGATTTTGTCCGCAGCTGCAACAGCTAGATACATAAGTCTCTCACCCATTCAAAGAATGTTCGGTAGTGAGAAACACAGGTAAAAAAATTAATGAAAAAAAAGGAAATATCGTTACGGACTTGCATTTTATTTCCGACGAGAATTCCCTTATTTTTCACAATCCACATGTTTTCCTCGCGACCCAAGCAACATTTAATTTTCGTTATTTCTTTCTCCCATTTCTTATGTCATTTCGAATCGAAGAAGAAATTTTCGATGATATTTGTGTATTTTCTTCTTAACAAACATAATTGCCGACGCATGCTGCAAAATTAAAGCCCTCCACTTAAAAGGCTTTGAAAAATTATATTTTTTGGGACGAATTTTGACGGACGAAAATTCAATTCACTTTCATTTTTGTTAAAATTCGTTTTCAAAAAATTTGAGATCCAAGCTCTTTGAAACTATTCAATTCAGCGACGCTTCAGTTTATCCGCATGACTAGATTGCTGCCTTGTAACAATTTTGGCTGTCACTGAATAATTGAAAACAAAAAACCAATCGAGGCACTCAATAATTGATGATTAATTCATCATATCTGGATTATTCTTTTTTATTTCTTTTTGAATAGACGATTAAACACTTTTTTAATCCGCCGTCGACGTGCCGAAAAACCGAAAAGAAAAAAATGAAAAAGGGTTGTGATAGACGTCCAGCAAACGTTTTGCTCTGCGAGTTTCCGAATTCCGCGAAACTGTTTTTATGATCTTCTCCGCGTCCGCTTTTTTTCGTGTTTTAATTATTCATATTTGGACGCCCCCGTGTGAATATTCATCGATAATGACGTTTCTTGGAAGCAGAAAATAACTTCGACCTCAGATAGACATAATTCATGGGTGGCAATAATCAATGGGTGGAAATGTGCAGACTGGCGCAAAGAACAGAAAGATCTTCGCTTGATCCCAAATTTTTTCGAAACTCTCTGCCCAATGAAACTCTACTCAATTTTATCTAATTTCCGCCACCCACTTCCTTTCCTGTCTAGCCTTTTGTTTAACATTGGACTCAAAATAAATTTTTTATTGGGATTTTTTTGGGGGGATAAGCTTATCAATAAATATCTCAACAATGGATATTATCCAAATTTCATGAAACTCAACGAAGAATGATTTATAAGAATTACAGATGCTGAAAATTCGTCAATTTATAAGAAATTGTCTTCTTCTTCTTGCTTTCTCAATATATCCAGATTATCCAGAGACACAAGATGTAACGAAGCGAAATCAAACAACTTTAAAGTTTCAGCGCATCGGCGGTGATGTTTTCCCACAGATCCTAATCTTTCCTTTCTCCACTAATCTCTGCCTAATCTAGGTCATCTGACCTGGCAAATTCGATTAATAAATCCTCTTAAACAAATTTATTAATATTATTGCTTTAGCGGGGGTTCGGTTAATGTTGAATCGGTGGGATTTTCGCTAATCGACGCTTCCGTGTTCCATGTATCCAGCGGCGGTGTGAGCACAATGTCTGCTTCTTCCTCGCGTCGAGGCTTCTTCTTCAAAAAATTTGCCATTTTCATGAGGGCGTAATTATGGGTGGCAATGTATTGCTGAAAATTGACGATTGCGGAGACGATCGCTATGAAGATGACCTCAGTTTCCCACATGACCTGCATGATCTTATTGAGATCCAATTCGTCAAGAGCAATTCCTTGCGAAAGATGCGGAGAAAATCTGAAACAGAGAAAACACATCAATTGGATTTGTTTTAAAAAGAAACATAATTTTTAAACCTAAAATATGGAATATTTATCGAGTGACACCATTCTCTGGCGTATCGAACTGGCTGCCCATTAGACGCCGTACACTAAAATCCCAATTCTTTCTGATTCTTCTAATCTGTCTGAAAACCTCTTTGACAAGCATATTAAGCATATTTTTAGTGTTTCCGATTGCCTTATAAAACGATTTGGCGAAATTGAAAGGATTTTTCTGAAAACAAAATTGTTGCTAGAATGTAATCGAATTATTTATAGGCGCGCCGGTTTTTGAAAATTGCAAATCGTGTGACCAAATCAGTGCGAATTTCCGGAGAGTGTTTGCAAAATCAAAAGAAAAAAGCAAGGATTTCGTGTTACCACGTGGGGAATACTCAAATCGATGCCGTCGATTTTTTCGGTGGGGAAAATGCCGGTGCCGATCGAGACCACACATCCAATTTTCCAATTCCCCTTTTCATCGCGTTCCTTCTCGTTTTTCTAAACGGAAATTTGTGAAAAAAAAATGAAAAAAGAGTGCGAGAGAAATGAGTACCGCAAACGTTTTTTCGAGTTTGTTCGTCAAAAGAAAATCCGAGATCAATGCCAATGTGGGATTATTCGCAATGAGACCACCATCCGACAAACCATGGAACGATTCGAAGAAAAATGGAGCAGCTCTGGAAAAAAAAACAGAACGATTTTATATTTTGAGTTCAGAATTATGAAACTAACGTCGTACATCGGAGTGCTTTCCACAGCTCGACTTTTTCAGGATCAAAAAATTTGTAATGTTCCCTAGCCTGTTTTAATAGGCAAAATATTGTTTGTTTTTTTTCAAAATTTTAAAATTTCTCACTTCTTCCGGCATATCAGGCATATAGGATCGAAACAACAACAATTGCGGTGGGACCATTCTCGTGTCAGCGACTGTCACAAATGTCCGCATCTTTTTGATAATGCTCATTTTCGAATTCTCCCATGCTGTCACATGCTTTGCCACGTATTCAATGCCAGTCGCGCTGTACTTTGGCCAAACGACTTTTCCCTGAAATTGAGAATATTTCTTTCAAACGACTCCTCGATGCGAGCAATACCGTCTGCTTAATAAACACCTTTTCGCGCATATCGAGCAGCAGTTTTCGAATATCCTCAACTTTTCGATCTAAAATTCTTGAAATTTGGTCAGAGCATGAAAGCAATGATAATTTCTGACTTTTACTCGAGATTAATAGACTAATGACTCCGCCACAACTAGTTCCTCCAATATCATCAATATAATCAACCAATTTTCCGTTCAGCATGTTATCAATATGAATCAGAATCTTAAGAAAAACGTATTTCGACTAGGAATTTCAATCGACGATCCATCGAAATTAAGCTTATCTACCTGCATTGTGATGACTGCTCGAATTCCGCCACCATCTAGAGCAAACAGAACTCGCTCATTCGGCTCCCATGACTTTTTCGATTCCACAAGCACATCATTGAAATGATCGTCAACGTTTACAAATCCTTCTTGCGTTTTTTCAAGGACGGGTTCGAGCGACATCAGATCTTCGCGGATTCTATCAATTTCAAATCAATATTTATCATAAAAAAAACGACAAACTACTTCTCGTCGGTGCAGAGATCTAGAGAAGTGAGTCCCGCCTTATTTTGCACTTTCCATATTTGGTAGGGTGCACAAAGAACAATGAGCATCCGGCATACTTTTTGTTGGCAATTCTGAATCAACAAAATTTGCTCAATTTTCAATATGAGCTCGATATTACCATTACAGCAACATGCATCGCTGTATTTCCCGACTCATCCGTCATTTTCAAGTCAATATGGTGAATATATAGCTGAAAACCAAATAAATATCTCATCGGTTCCGATTTTCATACTTTGTATAAAAGATCAGTGTTTCCAAATCTTGAAGAATTCATCAAAGCTTCCAAATGATTGCATACATTCTGCAAATTTATCAAATTTTCCTCAAGGATTCCATGCAGGCGGCAAAAAAGAGCAGAGTTATTCGAATTCAGATTGCTTTGGAGCCGAATAAATAGCAGGCTGGACATAAAAACTTTTTCAATTCAAAAGGTCCCATTTTGCCAAATTGGGTCTGGGCATGGAACGGGACAAATGGGACCATTTTGTAGATCTTACTCAAATTTTAAAGTGTTGCGGGCGCAAAAATACCAAAATATTCGGGTTCTTCATTTAATTTCATATTTTGAGGACATTTTTATCGTTGGTTTAAACGGGATTTGACCAATTTACATATATTTCTAGGTCCCATTTGGCGAAATGAGGACTTTTCCTAAAAAAAACATCGGCCCCATTTGTTCTCACCCCTTTTGGTTTTTAAATGCAAAATGAGAAAATAAAATATTGTGGGCGTGGTTTGTTCCGCAACTTCCGCATAGTTCTATGCAAATACGCCACATACAACTATAGTTGGCGTCCGGCGATTTCTGTGCGCTCGCTGTTAGATTTACAATGTAAGTGATCTCACAAGGACTAACTGGTTAATTCGCATTTTAATATCTATAATTGAAAAGTTAGAAACTCAAGAAAATATCAAACTCATTAAAAAAAACATTTCACGTAAAAAAATTTTAGAAAGTATTCACGTGTGCCGAGACCATTTCGAAAGACGCACTCCGTAAATCTACCCGCGGACAGCAGTCACCTTATACCGACCTATTTCCATTTTCGAATGCGACAATGCTTTATATTGGAATAGTTTCCAAATTACTCACTGATAAATCATAATCGGTCATGAATTGCTCAGCCTTGGCTCTTTCGCGAGGGTTCTGCCGCTTCTCCTGACTCGAGTTCTTTGACCGCTTGCGAAACATCTTCGACAATGACTTCTTCGAGCTCATCGTTATAAAATAGACATCGCCGCGGTCATTTCGCTCGCGTGTTCGTGATAAAAACGATCACGCGATTGTTACTATATTGCAACAAGTTTCGTGTTTATCTCCGAACGGCCCCCATTCACTTGCGGACCCGGTGCCGCCGTGCGATGTGTAATAAATGGCGGCGCGCTGAAATTCGAATGGTCATTTGGCATTCATTGCTGTCCCTCGATGATTTCACCTTTCGCAATTCTTGTTTCCATTTTCCCATTTTCCGCCGCCCTTATCGCCTATGATAAAGCCAATGAATTCCTGAATATTCCGGAAAACGAGATCCGAGTAATCACTCCGGTTATTGAAAATTTCAAGCCAAAACTTCACGTGCAATTTATCAATTTTCAAAATATCAAACGAAGAAAGTAAGTGGAATTTTGATTGAAAATAATGATGTTCAAAAATAGGGCAAGTCGCACCAAAAATGGGCAAATTCGAATCGAGACTCATCTCGAACCAACTGTCGAAAATGTAACGATCAACGATGATTATGTAAAGGTGAAACGCGCTGAAATTTAATAATTAAAAAACAAACAAAAAATTCCAGTTAAGGTTCGGAGGAGCTTCAAAATCACACTTTCCGTATAACCGAGTAATTGGCTTCGAATCTAATGTCGAGGTTCGTTTCAGATTTAAACCCATCTTAAATTCTTTGCTGCCACAAAATGAGAGGTTCTAAACTTTTTGTCCAGATCAAGAACGGTGAGACATGATGGGTATACCTTCACTACTGAGGACTGTAAAATCCGTATTCTAAAAGACACACAGGTTACATACTAGTGCATCCAACTTCATTCATTGTTTTTGGGAAATCCCCGGCTGGTAGAACTCCAATATGAATCCACACGATGAATTGGGAAAAAAACAATAAATAACCTCAAAAAATTTTTGGTTGAAAATCTCACCAAATTTTGGAATTTGTACTTCTTCGCTCCAAACCCGCCATACGCTCGCCTAGACCCTAAGGGCAATTGGCCAATTGTCCTTCTGGGCGAGCTGTCCCTTAATTCGCTGATTCAGTTAAGTTAGTTGATTTGCATCAATGACTCATTGTCAATGAGGATTTTGAAAGTTAAAAGCAATTTAAAAATTTAACATCGCTAGAAATTTCATCCAGATTAAATTTTTAAATAAGAGGCTTTCAAATTTCGCTACAGAAACGTTCAATGAAACAAAGTGAATGGGGGGTGTTGATGTTAAACAAGGATTAGTTGAATATGCCGCTCATCGAGTTCCAAGCGCCCTATTTTTTTCCAAAAATCTTCAATGATAAATCCAATTTCAGACAACTTCAACGACCACTTGGGAAGCAATAACTCCTCGAAATTGGGCGACGACTTCAGCAAAAATGCCAAATTATTCAGCCGAGCCGGCGCTTTTTCTTCCCTCACGGTAATCAAAAAGGGCTTTTCTTTCAATTAAAATTTTCGAACTTTTAGGTTTCATAAAAACCAGAAGAATGTTGTCATCGTTTTCAAAAAACCTGTTAAACTTAGAAGATTCTAATCGAGCAATATTAATATTTATAATTTATTTCGCTCCGGGTTCACAAATAAAAAAGAAAACGAAAATGATGTGAAATAAATGAATAAAATTGAAGCGACTCGCTTGCGTAGCAAAAAAATGAACGGAAAAAAGAATATCAAAAAAAAAATGGAGAGACAGAATCACCGAAATAGACACTAAATTCTATGCGAAATTTCATAGAATTCTCTTTTTCATAACAAAACTCTGAAATTGGGGTTCAAAAAAACAATGAGAAACACACCGAAAATACTACTAGAACACACTTTTTTTTTCTGAAAATGAGCATTTTGAAGTTTTGGGGGTTCGGGAAGAACAATGAGAAAAAAAGAGAGGCACAACGAATTATGAATATATACAATTTAAAGCGAATTTGCGAGACAACTAGCCGATTTTACTGAAGGATTGTGCGAAGCGCCGATTCGATGATTTGCCGATGCGCTATTCGAGTGACGCCGAGTTGAGTGAATCGCGCTCTATCGCACTTGCGAAGCGCGGGTCCATCGATGCGTTGCGTGCGGAACGCGTTGGCGTATTCGGCGAGATGGAGCGAACTCAGCCAGTTGAGAACATCGCCAACGGTCCAGCCGTCTACTTTCTTATGTTGGAACGATATCTCCCCGCCTGGAATTTCATTGTTTTTTTTTTAATTTCGAAGAAAAGCTTATGTTGAAAGCGTGAATCCTAATTTTGAAAAATACACATTTTTATTAATAATTTTAATCCAGTGCACGTTAATCACCTCCCTACCCACATTCATTCAATTTGATTCTAATCAATGTTATTTTCAAACCTTCGAAATATTAAAAAAAAACCACATTAGTGTCAACCCATGAACCCAAAAATTCTCAGCACAACCAAAAATATGTCAAATGTGCAATAAGAAATAATCAAAATAAAAAAAAACTGTGCTCGTACATCGAATCTCTCCATCGCTGTCGCCAGTCCCAGAATCCGGATCATCGTCATAATCAACGGGCGGCACGTGCGACGGCGTTATCCGATTCGGCTCAAGTGTCGAGGAGCTCGATGATGTTGATGCCATCGACATCTGAATATGTTATCACCATGGTTAGTAGAAAAGAATGAGAGAATGAAAGAGTTCAAAGCAAGATATTTGATAAAGCAGAATCATTCCCCCCTTGTCAACCTAGTGATAGAAAAGAAGAAGCTTACATTGTCTTTCTGACCGTAGCTGTCCTCGATGTGTTGCGAGATCAGGGTGACACGTTGAACATTCGGCGAGTGATCTAGCGAGAAGTGCGGACGATCCTTATCCTCGGATTCCGAAGGTTCCAACGAAGTTCTTGACGAAGTGTACCCGCTATCTTTCTTATTCACGATTCCATTGCTCTGCATCAATTTTCCGCGCTCAACGACGTTTTCGCGAACGGTTTCTCGCAGCGAAAGCCCTTCGAACCTTCTGAAATTGATTGTTGAAACATGAAATTGTCCGCAGCTAAATCAATTAATTAAACGAACGTTTGATTTTCGTCGTCCTCATCGATGTCGTGTGCCACTTTGCTTCTCCTCTTCGCCAACGCATTCCTCAAGTCCATTTGGAAATCCTTCGTCTTCGAATTGTTGTTGTTGTTGTTGTTGTTGATGTTGTTGTTCACCGCCGGTATTTCTCTACTATCCGCTTTTTTCAGTTGTACAGATCGTAGCGCGTCCGCCGAGATTCCTTTGCTATTTGACGTTAACAGAGCTGGAGCAGATGTCACCGATTTCATTAGTTCTGCTGGCGGCGGCGGCGGGGGAGGAGGCGGGGGAGGAGCTCCTGAACTAATTGCAGCCGGAGGCGGAGGCGGTGGAGGCGGAGGAGGAGGTGGTGGAGGCGGTGGCGCCGAAGACGTTGAAGGAGGATTGAATTCCACCGTCACTATCGTGGGCTGCGCAGGTGGAGCCGGAGGTGCTCTCGATGACGAAGGAGCAAAGTTTTGCATTGGCGGAGGTGGAGGTGGAGTCTTCGGCCTTGATGTAGGTCTAAATGGCCTAGAGTACTCACTCCTCTGCTCCCTTGTCAAATCTGCAGGGAATGGTGAAGTCAGGGGAGGAGGAGCCGGAAGATCTTCCTCATCATCAAATGAATCAAAAGAGTCCATCCTTGAGAGCTGCGGTGTGCTCCGGCTCTGGCAGCTGTACTCAAAAGTGCTAGTTGCTGGAGGAGGAGGGTTTGGCTCAAACGTGGAGCGATTGAGACCAGCCGAAGAAGCAACCACACTTCGTTGGCCTTTCCTTCGTTTCATATCAGATACCGAATTGTACTTCTTCGAAGAATATCCGCCATTCAGCGATTCCTAGGATACCAATAAGAATCAAAAAAAGCGTTTCTTGGATCTTACTTGATCATACTGTGGCTGATAATTCGAAGCCTGTGAAGGACCCCGCTGACGGACCATCAAATTCTCGAGCTCAGCCGCCGATATCCGCCGCCCACTTCCTGGCCGATGTTTGACGGAAGCGTGGCGAGACTCGGAATACGTGTTGCGAATCTCATTCGGCGAATAATAATCGGATTGGCCATCTGAATTCGAAATTGTCTCATCGTCAAACAAAATTGTTGATTTTGCTATTATTAGAGTGCGACATAAAAACAGAAACTTGAACTAATTAGAATCGCAGAAAAAACAAACATCGAACACAGAAAAATAAAGTGAAAGTATTACCAAAGCGTAATCGATACACACTGTTCGAAGTCGAATATATTGCAGATGGCGTTGGTGTGAACACCAATGATTGGCGGGAGGACGCTGAAAGTGACATGAAGAAAGAAAAAAACGTGCGTGTTATGTGAGAACGCCAACAAACTCAGCAAGATGTGCAAAAATGATGACCGCCAGATGATTGGTCGAATACTTACCGGAATGAGTCCGACGCTGCACCAATGTTCCACCGCGGCTTTCCGCTCCAGTGTCCACCGTAATCACTTTTAAGGTTATGGTATCACCGGCTTGCTGGATGAGCTCGACGACTTCGTCATGCGAGCAACGCTTCACGTCGATTCCATCGATTTCGAGAAGATAGTCTCCGGGTCGGAGACCTGCTCGAACCGCCATTCCTGACATGTCGACACCTTCGAAGAATTGAAGCGCTGGCACTTGAGGGGTTGGCTCGAAATTCAGAGGCATGGCAACGTCTGAAACAACAAGAATACATCAATATTTTGAAATAAAATTTTGGTTACGTTTGGCTCCTCTCAAAATGAAACCGAATCCTTTGACGCCTCGCGGGATGACGAGAATCCGAGGAACATTGACTTCTTGACCGCGCAACGGATCTAACCCATTCCGCCGCATTGTTCCATATTCCGATGGCGTCATGGTTGTACGAGATGCTCGCGATGGGCTTGGTGACGGTGCTGCGGACGGAATCCGTCGAGTGCTTTGTGGCGTCCTATAGATATCCTGACTGCATATGGAAGACTGCGACATCGATCGCCTTCGGGTTATCGTTGAGCTCAGCCTTCGTCGAGTTGAATATTGCGGTGTCCCCCGGTAAGGCACAGAGGACGACGGATTATGTGCTTGAATGACTTCAGCGACGGCTGGATTTCCAACAATGTGAGCCACATGAAGGGCAGTTTGCCCTTGCTTGTTCACCGTTAGATGATCAGCACCGCGAAATAGCAGAACTCTGGCGCATTCGGGCCGATTGTTGACAGCACAGACGTGTAATGGTGTGTTCCCATTCACGTTCTCAGCGTCAATGGTGGCTCCGAAGTAAAGCAAATGCTCAACATGTTTCACGAGACCATTTTTGCAAGCTTGGTGAATCTCATGGTTCCCATGCATATCAGTAACACCGATGTCCGCCGCTTCCCTGAGCAGCATCTCAGCCACTTGATCATTCGAGTCCGCCGTTAGCATGTTGTAGTAAAGTGGTGTCAACCCAATGGGATCCCGATAATTGGGACTCGCTCCCAGTTCGATCAAAGTCTTCACATTCTCATAAGAGGATAGGAATGAGGCCTTATGCATTGCCGTTTGGCCTTCGGAATTCCGAAAATCAATATGAGCACCGCCGCCGACTAAGGCGACAATCACCCCGCGATTCGATGGAATGCCAGCGGCTAGTGTCAGCGGTGTTTCGCCCTGCAAATCGACCGCTCCCATCCCTTATTCTAATTTTTTTTTGCCTACCTGAGAATCGTGAAAGTTGGCGTCGAGGCCTCGCGCGCACATCTTCTCCACTTTCTCGCTGTTCTTCGACTGCACGTAGTCCATAAATTTTTTCAGTTGACTCTATAAACATTATCTGATTGATCGCATCTATTCAATTTATTTATATAATAATAATATTCTTTTATTATTATTATTATTAATGGGTTTTTAGCTGCTTCTCCCGGAAACCTGTCGGCAGATACGATTTTTTTAAGCATTCATTTTTCAGTATTTCCCGAATGTTCAAACAACCCCCACCTTGGTGTGCATGTTCTTGAGTTGCTTCTCATCAAGTGACAACATTTTGTAGACGCGTTTCTTGTATTTGAGCTGCAAGAAAAAAACACATCAAATTGTCTGCCGAAAGACAATGTCGTCGGCCGTCCGGTGGGCGGGTATTGGCCCTAATTGAACGCGGATTATGTTTGTTTACGCGGCGGTCCAGCTCGGGGCGGCCGACGGTTTTTCAGGAAACACGCGCTCAGCGCTCGCGCACACACACACACACACACACACACACAACCGACGAAGCGAGCGAGCCACCGACACAAGTCAAGCCGAGTCGGAAATTGAAAGCGAAAAACGATACCTCGAGATATGGCACACAGTCGGTGAATGGATAGTCGCGAATTGTGCGGTCTTCGAGCAAAAATTTGCCGGCGCGACCGTCGCATGGCGGCAAGAATAGACCGTAGTTGAAGGCTTGTGCCAGTGCCTTAACAGAATATCTAGATTGATCGAATCGGATTGGGGTACCTGTGGAAGTGTTGCCAGCAGTTTTCGCTTGACATCCCACACAAAATCATTCGGAGTTACCGTAAGAAATTTCTGGAAAAAAATTGTTGGAAATTTGTATAAGGTTCTTACAATGCAAACACCCCCTCCCCCCCATTGAACAAACAGTTTGAACACATCTGTTGGTGTAGAATTAAGAAGTTTAACAGGTTTACAACATAGAGGGTAAGTTTAATAAATTAAACTTCTCTGTTTTTGTTTTCTTACCCGAACATTTAGCTCCGGCACGAAAATCTGCAAATTGACAGGATCTTCTTCAACGTTCATCTTTGTAATCAGCAACCAAACCAAAGCCTATTCAGGCACATTCATGAACGAGCCTGAAAGAAACGATTTGAGGAGAAGCGTCCAAGGAAAAAAAGACGAAATACACGAGAAAACGGTTATGCAACAATATGTTATATAATTAGTGGGCGGGATTCTCGACAATGATTGATGGATTGATGAGTATAATCGGTGTAGATGGTGCGTTTTTTGTTTGACGCCAAATTAGTTGAATGGTTTTGTCTTCAGCGAAACAACACAACGCAAGACATACACAGAGTCAGTCAGTCAGTCATAATGGAATGACGATGAGGACGGAAAGAAGAGTACAGTACATAGGCAGAGATTCCGGAGGAGGGCGAGCGAAAAAAAAAATGAAGCACCTTCTTCCACCAACCATGTCGACATGGGGCGGAAACTGGCTTCGCTGGAAGAATTGGTGAAGATGATGAGGAAGACGACGAAGATGCTGAATGTGTTCGCCTCGAAAGTAATTGGCGAACGCGGAGATATGAAGCTTCCGACCGAGAGTTATACAAAATGGCACTAGTATTACTCATTTTATAACAAAAAATTCGACAAACACTTTTTTTATTTGCATTTTTTTCCGCTGATGGCATCGTCGAAATTTTGTTTGAAGATCGTCTCAAGCATGACAAAAAATGGTGTTGATGAAAAGTTGTTGAACCGTAAAGTCGAAAAAGAAGAAGAAGAAAAAAAATGAGGCGTCAATATTCAAATATTTGAAGGCATTACCTTATCGGTTTCAGCGCGATGAGTCAAACAAAATAAAGGGAACGTTAATGATAGTGCACCGGAAATGCGCCTTCATAATTATTCAGAACATGGGTTAGCACTTGAAATGCGCCATTCATGATATAAAAGAAAGTAAAACAAAAAGTGTTTGGAACAGATTTAAATTTGAGGCTGTTCAAATATGAGCATAAACTTGGAATTGGTGAAATTCAACACGCAAAAAATTCATGAAGCAATTGGGGATTTAAAGCTATTCAAATCAAGAAAATTCTGTATTGAATGTTAGAATTAGAAATGGCGAAAAAGAGATGACAGAAAAGCTCATCGGATGAAGCGATTTTCAGATAATCATGTGGAATTCATGGAATCGGGATTATCTTCAGATAACACTAGTCATGAATTATTTTTCGAGAGCTGACAAATCAAATCCGGCAGCGAATTTCGAGAATCCGCGAAAAAAAATCGATGAACGAGAACAAATTAGAGAAATTAGGCGGCGAATTTTTGAGGGACGAGATGAAGATACCGCGCGCGCGCGCGGCTTGTCGTCGCACCGTCGCCGCGCGAGTTTTGACCACAACAGCGCACGCGGACGGGCTCGCCGAGCAGAACACACGAATCGCGGAGTGCGCGTCCAGAGAAAAATCAAACAAATCCAAGTCTCTCCGCAACAGCAGAAGCTACGCGCACACATACCTCCCAAATTGCAATATGAACGAACGAGGATTGATTTTGAAAAAAAAAAGTGGTCAAGATAACGAGAAGCAGAAGCAGCTCTCTCATTATTCCAAAGGGGGAACTGGAGAAGATGGTAGAGTTCAAGAAGCCGGACGCTTGTTGGCGATTTGCAGAAGCGCAAAACGTCAAAAAATGTCTCACTCTCTTCTCATCGGGTGGGTCGGGGCGCTGTCAAAAATTGTTTTCCGGAGTCTTGCCGGCGTTGTTAAACACGAGCGGATTACGGGTGCCCGATAATCTATTCGGAAACACCGTCACCGGTTGGCAGTCAGCGAGCGCACAAAACTGAATCGGCCGTAAATTGCGTCTAATTACTACCACACAATCGGGCGTCTGTTTGGGTAATCTTTGATGTGGATGGAGGTGGAATTCTCGAAGAAACAAGAACAGTCATGGAATAAAAAAAAACCCTAGATGGCCGAGAGGAAAAACCGTTGAAAACTCCGACCGGTATGCATAGTTAGCCGAAATTAACCAATATGTACATAGAGTTATCGCCGAGAACACTTGCCACCACAATAACAATCGCTACAGTAATAGGGGCTAGGTTTCGAAGCGACTTTTCGAATCCCGCTCACAAGAATGCATTAGTCTCGAGACTATTTTCTAGTTTGCTATGCGCCTTTAACTAACTAGACAAACCAGGTCATTGTTTTTCAAGATCGAATTTCCTTTGGGAGGAAACTCGAATTCCTACCGTAGCGCGGGTTGTCCGTCAAAGGACAGCAGCTTTGATTGAAAATAACAATAATAATAAGTACATTAGCTGTTGAGGTACGAATCTCGACGTAGCTTTTTTTTTGGAATTCGGCAGGTGGAAAAAAATCGCGAAATTTGAAATTTTTCTAAGAAAAAAACAAAGAATCACAACCTCGAAAAATGTCCGCAGATTCTAACATATGAAAAAATAGCTCTGATTGGCTCACAACTTGCATAGAGTTACGAACTTTTATCAAATTAATAAATAGCCGCAAAATGTCCAATTTTCTATTTTGAGAAATATGTAGTTTTACCGAAAATGCCACGTGGAAATCCAATATTGAGTTTGAAGAATTTAAAACAATCATTCTGAATACGTGAAAGAGAAGAAAGATGTTGGACAATTGAGAACAATACAACAAAGGGCGGGCGAATGGTTTGTAGAAAGGCAGACGACCCAACAAACAAAACGGTAAATAGCGAATGGCATTAATGAATTTTTTTTGAGGGAGGGGGGCCCTTGCCAATAAACTTTCGCCTGTGAAATTTCGCGCATCGCATCAATCCTCATCCTTCAGCTTCTTCTTTTTCTCAAACGCGGCAAATTCAATCAATTTCACATATAAAGTTTCGCACTGCAGCGTGCAGAGATACAAAAACAAACAAGCGTCTGACATTCTAATTAAGCCCAACAAAAAATAATGCAACGAATAAAAAATCTGGAAGTTGACGTCTTCAAGGTCATGGCAAATGAGAGGACGAAGCGACAGATGGCAACTTTTGGGTGATGTGCTTGAAATCGAATTCACACGAACCGCAATTAAGGTCAAGAGTCGAGGCGAGGCAAATGAGGGAAGGATTGGATTGGATTGTGGATTGGATTATCCGAATTACAGTAGTTGTTGATGACAACTAGCTGATTCTGATTCTATGAAATATCAACAATTGAGTCTCATCTGCGGACATCATCGCGCGATGGCCGAGAACTGACCCTAAATGGCAATTCTCGTGTAAACCGCTTCAATTGAATTAGGCATCCAAAAACGAAAGCATTCAAGTGGTTGAGGTTTTTCAGAAAACCAGTCAAGTAGCTTCTCCTCAAATCGCCTTTTTATGGAATGTTTCAATTCATTACTCCTTTTAGTACAAATTGGGAATTTCGATGAGAACGGATGTTGGGGTGAAGTGAAGAAAGAGTTGGCGTAGAAAAAAACAAGACAAAATTGGACGGAAAAAAAAACGTAGGTTTCCATGGCGCCGATGCGAATGAACACATTGTGAAAACCTGCAAAAAATGAACAAATGAAACATTGAAAAGAAAATAATAATAGGAAATAGCGAAATAAAATCGAAAATTGAGGTGTCGAATTCAAGATAAGCATCTTTTTAGGCGATTCGATCGATTCTTCGCCCTTTTTTTGTTCCTGCCAAATAAAACAGGATCTATAAAATTTGGAAATTCTTTTCACCCGCAAAATATTTATGTATGGGAATTTTTGGTATATTCAATCGAATAAGACGAGAATCCTGATGATGGTCCGAAGATTCGGGTACTTCTCTTTGACTGGAGACACCATGGCCATTTTTTTCTAATTTCATTCAATTGCTTGAAATCTCAAAAAAAAAAACGAGCACCTTGAGCAACTGTGGACCGTTTTTTTTTTCGAGGCGGTAATTCAAATTTCAACTTTGGGTAGCCTTAATTATCGAAAAAAAGCCCTCACAAAGATTTAGGCGAAATCAAAGAATTTCACATTTAGAAAAAAGTCAGCTGAGTGAAAAAAAAGATTATTTTTATGTTATTTTAAAATTTACTACATTTCTGGAGTCGAAGCAAAAAATTCGGAAAACCCCCAATAGTGTCCGCAGATAGTATACATCATTTTCTAAATAATCTCTTTTAAATGCTTGATACATTAGTTTTTTCAGCAAGAATTAAGGGAACTGGACCCCCTATTGGGATGCGAGAATTAATTGCAAAAAAATGAGGAAATTAGTTTTGACAGGGTATACTAGATAAAAATCGTAGGTGAAAGGAAAATTGCGAGACAAAAAAAAGAGTTTGGAGAGTGAAAAAGTTGGGCGATAATATCGGTTCAACCTGAACCAACAAAATCCAATACGGAACACGAGTTGAAGTGAATGAGAAGAGGTAGAAAAAGACGGTCGGCGCCGCCTCTTCCCTCCTCCCCTCCGATGCTCTCGGCCCTATGTGCACAACTTGCTAATGCGGTGGCTAAATATGCGAAACGAGAGAGCGAATCGAGGATTAGGAACGATGCGGCTCGGCTGAGGCACAACCACTCACTGTATTGTATGTATATTATGCGCGAGTGCATCGAATTGCCGCCGCCGCTGCCGCCCGACTGTCGTCGATTCATTGTTGCGGCTCACGGTGGAAGCGCGCCCCAGGTCATACAACTAAACAAGTCAGACAGGACCGGCGCAAGAATAAAACATATGTACGTCATTGCTGTCGTGGCAATGAATGTGTGCGGTTGGCACAGTAATAAGCAAGTTGGGAAAAGTTCGTTTCTGGGGGAAACGACCAGCAATTGATGTGTTTAGTTATGGAAAATTGATGTGAATTTCAAAATTGACAACAATCAGTCAGAAACCACACATTTTATTGTTGTTTTCCCAATAAAGAATGGCGAAATCTGAAGTTTTTATTGTCTTGCGCGATTGCGGAAAAAATGGCTATAAAAATCTCTGGCTGTGGTCTTGGTGCAAAAAAAAATTAAGTGTAGATTTACGGGCCAAAGAGAAATTAAAAGCGCGAACTAAGAGCTGTTCTTAAATTTTTTGGCATTTATCCAATTTTAAGAAATTTTGCGAACGTCGACAATAATTTGCTTCGCGAAGTTCTTAAAAATGATTTTTTTTTTCTCACGACGAGAACACTATTCGATATTTCAGATCAATTTTGCGAATATGAAAATGATTGAGATTCTCAAGGACACAAATCCTCCAAAAATTTTTGGAATGTTTTCTTCCAGAAAAAATGTTAAATATAAGACCCTTGAAATTATTATTGCTATTTTTTTTTTCCAAAAAGAATGTATGTGAAATGCAAACAGCTGAAGTACACCATAAAAATATATTTCGAACATGACCAGAACTAGTCAACAAAAGCATAAAATGATCGGAGGGAAATAGAGAGAACAATGATGAGAGTTTTGGGTGTTCTCAAAGTAAAAAAACGAGGGAAAATGGTTTTTTTCTTTCAAAAAATGATCGTCATAATCAGCGAAATATTGGGAAAACAGAAGCTGGCGGAAAAGAAAAGAAACAAATTTTCTAGAATGATCAGAGACGACGAGGACTACAACATTTTGTACATTAAATGATGCGTGATGTGAGAGAATCATTTATTTGAATCGAATTCAGGTTGATGTATTTCTTCTAAATAAATGCTCATCAAATAGAAAACCAACGAGAGAAACCAAGAAGACGTGTTCGAATTTGAATTGATTCTGCTGAAAACCATAAAATTTCAGAAAGTTTTGTCGAACGGTTTTGAATTAGATTATTCAAATAGTAAAAATTTGAAAGATAAGAATTGTAGTATTTGTTGAATTCTTTAAATAAATTCTTTTGATCGGTTCTTAACATTTCGAAAAAGCAGGTAAAGTTGGGAATGCTAGTAACAGGAAAAAATTGAGAGGCATCAAGCCGAGTTAAGCCCACCCAGATTATCCCATTAATCATGAGCGACACCCGCTGGCTGGAACCGACACTTTCAATTAAAAAAAAACGAGAGAATCATCGAGGCCACCCAGCAGCATTCATAAAATTGATAAATGGGCGGCAAAAAATGGGCGCGCACCTACACCAGAAAGAGATGATCAGCGTGGAATCAATAGGATGGATGGATGGATGAATGAATGAATGAATGAATGAAGACGGATGAGAGATGGTGGGATGCAAAAAGAAAACGAAGACGATCTTTTACTAGGTGGCGTACGAACCGAAACCAAGGTCGGACGGGCGCGGCCGGCCCTCCTCTCCTTCCTCACATTCGCGAAATAGTATGCAAATTCGAGGAGTCCTAACCGCAGGTATGTGTATTTATCGCGATTCCTTCTGTATGCATTTATTTACAAGACGCCAAAAAAAAATAATATGCAAATATTCTATTCTGAAAATCGATATGAACTTGATGTGTGTTAGAGTTTTTGACCTGCGCCGACTTGGTGCAAGGTCAGTAATTAGCAACGGAATGGTACGCATAGTAATTACATTGATGTGGAAAAACAAACGAATGGGAATCGGGACACCCGGAATGTTGCATTCACCCGCGTGTTATTGTTGTATGATTGAATGTTATTCGGATAACCGTATATCATATTTATATCTGCGGACGATTTATCATTTGAACATGCGCTTCGAGACAAAGGGATTTGAGTATCAGCTCAGAAATGCGTCGACCTTGATTCAACGTCTTCCTCGGGAATCCTCTTATTCCGGAAACGGTGGCCTTGAAGCGATTAGGAAGGCGGACTGCCGTGGTAAGCGAGGTGAGACCGACAATCATCAGCTGTAGTATTTCGGTTGGCCCAAAATTGAATGCGGCAAGCCGGTGTGTTGCAAATTAGGCAGACGTGATGAGTGTTGCCATCAGTGCCTCCTAATGCAACAAATATGGAAAACGGCGGTTTTACTTATTAACGAGTTTCAGTGATTGCTGGGCAAACCAGAAGAAACATTCCATCAGATGTCTACAAACTGACTTCTACCGACTGACTGAACTGACTTCTTCTATTGACAAGTCAACAATTCTCGCGATTCTCATTCTTTGAGTCAGTTTTTTTGAAACGAAAGACCGCTATTAATTGTGTAGATTAGTCAAAAAAATGGTGTGTTTACAGTGCAGTCCCGAAATTGCACGTTTCGGAAAAACTGGAGGAGGAGAACAAGGAGAAGCGCGATTGGTGAAAGTGACAAAAGTGAATAAACGCTTTTTCTCCTTCAAATCGAAAGTGGGTATCCGAGGAAGCGACAAACTCGTTTCCAATAGAAACAACGAAAAAAAAGTGAGGAAACAAGTTAATCGCATTTTTTTGGCAACAAAATTAAAAGTTAGACTACGTTTAAAAATACAACGCGAATTGAGGTTTTGTAACGGAGATCGGTGGAGGTAAACCCGACCTGGGTGGCCGAAACGTTCGCTCATATTTGTTCGAGAGCGCGAGATGGTGAGAGCTCGAGCAGCAGGAGCAGCAGCTTGAGCGAGACAGCGTTCCGGGCAGGACCCTCCCCAAGTGTTTGTTTTCTATACATGCACACATGTATAGAAATCTGCCTCGTCCTGCACCCACCTGGACACGTTCGCCGATTGCCCAAACATGGCTTATAATAATAATAATAATAATAATAATAATAATAATAATAATAATATGCAGATTAATTTAACAGTCGACCATCGGAAATTGCCAATTAGAGACTTTGTCGATTAAAAAAATATACATATTCCCCAATTTTGGAAGTTTTTTTTTCATAAAGTCATGTTTCTATGCAGATTTTGGGAAGAAAACTCGAAAAAAAAACTTTAAAACCAATTTTTTCAATCTACATAGGGAATTTAGGGCATTCGATTAGTTTTTTATCGACTTTTTGAGTTTTTTGAGAAATTTTCAGTTTTTTTTGTATAATTTTCACGAATTCTTTGAAAAAATAAATTCTAGATGTTACTGTACATATTATTTGAATAGTAATAGATTAGCTTTAAAGGAGGGGGGGTTAGAATGCAGCTGCGGACAAAATCAAACCAATACCATCGGTTTTTTTTTAGATTTTCTGAATCAGGGGTCCTTTTTGAGACAGTGAATCCTCTTTATCGTTGTTCTGCTCCAATTTTTTCTTTTCATATTATTTTTTTAAATCTAAAAAGGTTTTTGTTCGGATTTCATTGATAAATTTCCAGATTTTTTCACTTCTTTTTATCCAATTCTTGTCAATTTTCGAGTAAAAAATTAAAAAAAAAAACAATGCTAAAACTTCTAAAAGAAAAAATTGTTGGGAATTCGAATTTCGTCGTTTTGTTTTTAATTTTCCGTTTTTTTTTTCCAAATTTTTTTAAAATAAATATTTCTCGTAAACCTTTTCAAAAGGCTTTTACTCGACAATTCGGATACCTACAGTAATCCCCATAAACGTGGTCACAAATATCTCATTATCATTATTATTTTCCAAAAATTAAACGACTTTCACGAGGCAAAAAGCAAAATTGTTTGAATTTTGAAAAACAAATCGAAAATTTCGCATAAATTGTTTGAATTTAAAACAATATGATAGATGTGTTTCCAGTTTTTAAAAATATTGCCATTTTTCCAAAAAAAAAAACGGATTACAAATGGGTGTTACTGCAGTAAATTCCATACCAAAAAAGGAAGCTGCAATTTTGATCGTTGATCAAAAGCACTATGAAATGGAAATGAAGAGGATGTATATTTGCCCTCGTCACACGCAAATCAATACTCGAATGAATCACACATAAAAATGACGTATGGGAATCGTTATCGCGGCGATTTTTTTTCTCGCATTGCCTATAAAGGTATTGCACACTTTCGAATAGTGTTTAGTTCAAATTATCAGCGTATTTTTTATTCGTCGCCTAGCAATTATTGCGAAATATTTCATTACTAGACTCTTGTCGAGATTGTCAATTTCCCAATCATCCATCATTCCAGCTACTATGGACTATCCGCAAATCGAATTCGACAATCGTGGGGTCTTCTTTCCTGGTTACACAGCCAGCGGAAGAGTGACGCTTCATCTCTCGGAGCCAATGAAAGCGCGAATGATGAAAATTGTGATTGAGGGAAAAGCTCACACGCATTGGTCAGAAACTGAGAGACATTCGAAAACGTAAGACACCAACAAGAAATACTAATGCTATTGCCAAATTTTGGTACATTTTTAGAGATCATAATGGAAAAACAGAAACGCATAGTGAAACTGTTCACTATTCGGCGACTGTTCCTTATATGAATGGAGAATGCCTTTTATGGACAAGTACGGATGGAAAGGTAGTCATCTAATTCAAATTCTTCAAAATAATGCCGACGTCGCACGACTGCTGAAATTTGGCAAAATGACTAAAAATTGAGGTCTTGGTGCGCCTTTAACTAATATTTCCAAATCCACACATTTTAGTTTTTTTTTTTTCACCAAAACGACTGCCATTGATTTTTAAGGCATTTAGCCTAATTTTCAATTGTCGTGCGACATCGACAAAATTATATATAAATTTAAAAGTTTAGAACAAAATGCCGGTTGGTAATTACACGTTCCCGTTCACATTCGCGATTCCGATCAACTGCCCTCCGAGTTTCGAAGGATTTCATGGTTGTGTTCGGTATACCGTGAAAGCGGAAATTGACCGGCCGTGGCGGTTCAACAGAAAAAATTGCAAACCATTCTCGGTGATCCCATCCTCCGATCTGAACATGATTCCATTGGCGATTAATCCGATGACAAATACCATCAGCAAAAACACCGGCCTCATTTTCAAAAATGGTGTTGTCTCGATGAGAGTTGATGTGCCGAAGCAGGGTTTCGTGCCCGGGGAAACCATTCAAATCAATGTATTTATTGACAATAACAGCTCGAAACAGGTTACAATGGTACGTAACCCCATATTTGGAATTACGAGTGTTTTGTTTATTTTTAGGCTCGCGCGAAACTAGTGCAAAACTCGACGTACTTTGCCAAACGCGGCTGGTCGTTCTATCAAGTGGATCCTTGTGCGATGACGAACCATGGAGCCACATCGGTCAGGCATGAGAGCAAACAAGTCGGAGAAATTTGAACGGTGCCACTATTTCTAATTTTTTGTTGTTGTTTAATTCCTATTATTTAAGCCTATTAATATTGCTCCTCGCTCCAAAAGTCACGTCTTACTCACATTGCGAATCCCAGCTATTGTCTCTTCTTTCAACAATTGCCCCATCATCTCTGTCAGTTACAAACTACATGTAAGTTTTTCTCCAAAATACGGTAATTTTACTTTTTATGTGCTGGTTCAGGTTCATGCGGATACCACTTCGACATTCAAAGGAAGCCTATGTTCGGAATTCCCAATCATCATTGGAACTGTCCCAATCCGACAATTCATCCCACAGACCACTAACTTCGCATCATCCGCTCCTCCAGCTCATCCTTCACAAATGCCTTCAGCTCCTTCAGCTCCTCCAGATATTCCTACTCCAACAGCACCATCTGATGACAGCATTCCTCCGCCGTATCCTGACGATCTAAATAGTAACGAATTCGCCATTTTCACAGTCATCTCTTGAAACGTGTTTTTTTCAGTTGCACCTCCTTCATATGAAGAATCTGTTTATGGAGTTTCGGGAACAACGAAGAACACAGAAGACACAGAGCCGTTTGCTCCCCGATATCCGGTTTACAAAGGATTGAATGCGCAACCGAACACACAAAACACTAAATTATGACATTGATCAAGTCTGTTAGCTGTTTTTAATAAAATACCTGCGTGAACCCTTTTGTCATATCAAATATTTGAATTTACAATTATTTTCATATATTCTTCTACTAATGTTTCGTTAGTCATACATTTCTCTATCTGGTTCAAATAACATTCTTTGATAAAATGTGTCGTCCGAAAACTATTGGTAAAATGAATTGATAAAAGCTTCATAAGTGTTATTTATTAGCTGCAAAAAATGAATTAAACAAAGAAAGTCTTCAAATCGAATTTGCGCGTCAAGGAGTGTTTTCTCCTGGAAGTACTGTTAGCGGAGAGGTGATTCTTCATCTGAATGAGCCAATGGCAGCTCGTCTTTTAACTATTGAGATTAGTGGATGTGCGAATACCTATTGGACAAAAGTTGTCACACGTGAGAAGAAGTGGGGACATACTGTATTCCAATTAAACTTGCATATGCTTCTAGAACTCAAGAAGGCAAATCTCATTTTTACAATGAGACAGTCCATTATAATTCGAATGTCATATACTTGAAGGATGCACGGGTTCTATGGACGTGCCCTGAGAATTCGGTGCTTCTAAGAGACCTTCATTTGTCAATTGACATATTCAGAATATAATGCAAGCTGGTCGGTATATATTGCATTTCTCGTTCTCAATTCCATCCGATTGTCCTCCGAGCTTTGAAGGCGAATTCGGCTACATTCGATATTCTGTGAAAACAGTTCTCGACCGACCCTGGAGATTCAACAAGCAAAACTGCAAAGCATTCACTGTGATTCCACTGATTGATCTGAATAAAATACCGTTGACGGCAATGCCGTTGGTGGGGAATGCGGCGATAACCGCGGGAAACATCATATTGAAGAAGGGAATCGTTTTGATGAGAGTGGAAGTGCCGAAGAATGGATTCGTGCCGGGAGAATCGATTCAGATTTCGATTCACATTGAGAATAATTGTAGGAAACGAGTGGTTCTGGTTAGTTGATGAATTTCTGAATTCCGATGAAATTTGATTTGGTAGGCTCGAGCGACTCTCACGCAGAAGGCAACATATTTCGCGGAGCTCACGAAAGTGAAAAATCGACATGTGAGTGGAAGAATTTTTCGAAGACATATTCCCATATTTTAAGACGTCGCAGTATATGAAACCTCACAAGCGCGAAGAGCGTCGGATGGTAACAGAAAGCCAACAAGTATATTCAATTCTCTGAGTCTCTCTTCACATCGTTTCAGCCTATCAACATCATGCCGCATTCCAGAGGTCACTTGAAGATGTCGCTTCGAATCCCGTCAGTTTCTCCCACATTCACCACATGCTCAATAATCACTGTTGAATATGAGCTACGTGTAATTTATTCAGTGTCATATTTGAATTTTTTTTGTCAATATTTAAAGGTTTACGTCGAGAGCAATGCGAAACACCATCGAAGGATGCACTTGGACTTGCCGATTCTCATTGGAACTGTGCCAATAACACCAAACCCAAGGAAGATTGCGCCGAATTGCCGATTTATTCAAGGTTTGAACAATTTATGACACTAAATATTACATTCGCGAAAAAAAAACGAGCACACTGCTTGAATTTATGATAAATTATTTATACGGTATGAGAATTCTCAATGTTTGAATCGAAATTTGAATAACCGTCCGAAAACATTCGATGGTCCACAATTACTCAGGGTGCTCGTTTTTTTGTGATGGAAATACAATTTTTTTTTCAATCCAGTTGAACCCACGCAAAGATCGCCATCGTCACCTACTAATAGCCTGCTGATGAATAAACGTCGGATGTGCGGTAAGAATTGATCTATTGCCCCCCCCCTTTTAAGTATAGTCCGATGTGTTTATATAATTTGCTTTAAATTGAATCGAAACAAACCAAAACTGATTAATTAATGTCAAATGCCCCGGAGGGCACCCAATAATTGTTTATAAAATCGTCTGTTGATATTCTAGGTCCAACGCCAACCTACGAGGAATCGATATTTGGACCATCAAAAGTTACTCCAAAAATAAGAAATGTTGAGGTTTGACAAATAATATTTATTTTTATGAGCAAGTTATTTTTAGACATTTATTCCAAAATATCCAGTTTATAAAAATCTGGAAACCCAAAAGCAACAAAAAAAGCATAAATAATATGATATATTAATAATAAAATTGTTCATCTGATGTGTTCATTTGAACGATCCAAAAAACTCAATACTTAACATATCAATCACACAGTCGCCTTAATTTTTTCCATGGTGTCTCTTATCATCGAACGCCTAATCAAAGAATGGGCTGCAGCTCAAAACCAAACGCGGAATTAATAGTCGAAACTCGATTCGATGAGCGATGGTCGATATTCGTACTGTTTATCAATTAACGAACTTTTCCAGCCCTCCGCATTCCCCAAAGTGGCATGACAATTTAAGCGACAGCGGTCTCGAGTTCACCCGTCTTATTATATGTATCTGCTTGTTTGTTATCAGTCGTTTTCACCCAACTTATTCGTGTCACCATTTCGTCGTCGAACCATGTCGCACATTGTTTGGAACAACGGTGGCGTTTTCTCGCAAGGACAAATCGCCGGCGGAACCGTGGTGCTAGTGAGAACGCGACCGGTGACCACCAAATTTGTAAGGCTTGACATTTCTGGAATAGCTCATGTTCACTGGATTAATAAGGAGAAGGTGGTGAAACAGTAAGTCGACCACTTGAAGCTAGTGTAGTCAAGCATTTAAAACGCAGGGAACCGAATGGACGGTTGAAGAAGAAGTATCACGATTGCCACTATTCTAACAATGAGACTTTCATTGATGAAAATATTGATCTTTGGAGCAGCCCGGGTTTAAAGGTTCGACACATCCAATTATCGAATTAACTAGTTTTTAGTCGATTCTTCCCGAAGGCACTTATGAGTTGCCATTCTCATTTCGCCTTCCGATCAATTCTCCTCCTTCGTTTGAAAGCGCTATTGGATCAATTCGCTATAAGGCAAAGATTAATGTTGATGGGGAGTTGGATGACGAGACGGAGAGAGTCCACCGGTTCCAAGGTCTGCGGGTTCAAACGTTCCTAGGTCTTCAATGTTAGTTTCAGTTCGTCAGCTTGCTGACCATAATTGGCAACCAAGAGCAATAATGCCGTTTAGTGAAACAGCTCGTTTCACGACATTCTTCCCACCTGGAAACTTTCAGATAAAAGTGGAAATGTGGCACAGCGCATTCGTTGTGAATCGAATGAACAAAGTTCGCATTTCGGTTACAAATAGGAGCTTCTCAGTCATTAGAGTTCGACTAAGCTTATATTGAATATTCTGAAATACCATTTTCAGCTTCGTTTGTGTCTTCTCGAAATTGCGGTTCACCTTGGACGGAGACAATCTGAGCCATCAATTTTTCCAAGAAGTACGCCACGCGAGCAAACAATTGTGAAGAAAAAGATTTTGGAATTCAAATCTGTAGAAGTTGTCAATAGAAATATCTTCTTGAATGTCTGATATTCCAGGATCCAACTCGTGAGAAAGAAATCGATTACGATCTTTTCATCGATGTTCCCGATTTTCCGCCAACATTCCATACCAGCGTGATCAAGGTGGAATACGTTCTTCAAGTTAAATGCGACATCGAGATATGCGAAGGAAGCTCTTTGATTAAAATTTACAGGCAACTACTAGATCAAAAACGATCTTGTCATTACTCTAATCTCTTAAGAACCCTCAAAGCAAGCGGGCCCATTGTACTTACTTCGTGCCCGATCATTGCCAACTATCCGATCGATAATGGCTTCATCAATATGTTAGAGCATGGTATAAATTCGGAAATTTTGAAATAATTTTGATTTTTAAGATTCAAACTTGATAGAAAGTAAATACCAAATTTATGAAGACCTCCAAAAAAATGAAAATTTTGACCGGGGTTGTCAAAATGAGGGTTCAACCAAATGAGGGTTTCCTGACCATATGATTTCTACAGTGCCGGACCAGAAACCCTGTTTTTCAATCTTAAAACCCTTGTTTTTATTTTAAACATCTGCGGACATTTGTTTGTTGTTGATGTGAAATTAGGGTGGCGACAATTCGAACAGCATAGGTCCCTCGTTTCTTTTTGACAATCCTGATTCCGGCAAATTGATATTTCAGGTCTTTTCAGAGCAAAATATTGCGGGTTTGATGACGTTCTGAGCGGACGCTATTTAAGCCGTAAAATGAGAAATGAAATAAATATTTTATATGTAAGACCTCACGGATTCTCGCCGTTGAGTCTCGATGCCTATCGATCATTCTTGTTTTTTTCCTAACATGGTATTCATAATAAGCTGATTCTTATCGAAATGTGGTCGAGTTGCAGCCAAACCAGCCAATAAGATTGTCAAAAAATCGCTCATTACATTATGTTATTATTATTGTTATCAGTATTTGTTATCAGTTCTTTCTTTTTTCTTCGATAACAATTTGTATAAGTACACAATTTGTACATATCATCGCCAAACTTTTGACGTGGTCAACACGGACGAACGGACGCGATGATAAATTGAATACATGAAATGCAATCGGAAAATCCTCTATTTAGAAATGCTCAATGAGCAAGAAAAAATGACAGCCAATCTTTATCAGCTTGAAATTTATGAGGGAAAGCGCACTCTTTCCACACAGTTTCGGAAAACCGGAAATTCCAGATAATCGAATCAAACGAGTTGTTTCAAAAACGATGGTATTCCCAAAAAAGAAAAAAAGTTGGAACATCCTGTTCATTTTCAGAAATTCATTTTGAGTTTTACGTAACTTTTACTCACAGAAATTCAATTGTCACTATATCGTTTTCAAGTCTACTGAATCACATTTATTCAGATGCAAATCGCAACATCGTTCGTAAAGCTTCAACAACTCCGAGTCCAAGACTTCATCCTGCTTGCTGAAGGAGAAGAATACTTTTTTTTCTTTAGAATTCAATCAAATGAACATCTCCGATCGAGGCGACTGGAAGTGTGCATTTATTTATAGTTCATTTTTTTTAGCGATTTTTGTAGTTAATTTTGTCGTTAAGTTCCATTCACTTTAGTGAATGTTTTATGAATTTATTGAATTACGTCAGATGCGTTGCGGTTGCGTTGCGGTTGAATTTTTGTAAAATTATTAATTATTACCAATTAATAGTTATCATTGATTTCAAAACATTTTAAAATAATTTGTAGCATGCGTCATCTCGACTGAAGAAAGTTGAAATTTCGAAACAACCCATCATATGAATTTCCAGCGTCTCGGTCCCAAAAAACGGGAAAACGTATAAAATAGTTTTCGATTTATTTGCAAGTCTTATCAACACTTTGATCATTTCGTTTCGACTAGTACTCATTCAATGACGAGCAACACCTCTCATGTCGAATTCGACAACGGCGGCGTTTTCACGCCCGGCCAACAAGTCACCGGCAAAGTGATTTTGGAAAGAACCTATCCGCTGAAGGCGAAATTCCTGAAAATCGTCATCGAAGGCACCGCGCATAATCAATGGAATTGTCGAGAACACGAAAAAATAATGTAAGCAATCAAACCATGTGAATTCATGAATGTTATGCAAATACATATTAACAGAAATGATGAAGGCAAAAAAAAAATATTCGTCGACGGAAAAATATATGGAATTCCAGAGTTTCTTATGGTCTTCGACTAATGAAAATGTATTAGTTGCTTGAATTATTTAAAATTCTTGAAAAAAAATCGAAATTCAGAAAACGATAATAGCTGGCCGCCATGAGTTTCCATTCAAATTCGTTATTCCCGAAAATTGTCCTCCAAGCTTCGAAGGAACATTCGGATCTATTCGATATACAGTAACCATGGCTATTGACAGAGTGTGGGCTCCAAATATTAAGAAGACCTATAGCTTCACCGGTTTCAGCACCTCTTTTTGTGCTAATCTTGTTTTATTTCCTAGTTGCTCCCGTTTGCGATTTGAACTTAATACCTTTGGCGACAACCCCGATCACATGCTTCAGTTCAAAGAAAAGCGGATTTCCAAAAATGAGCAACATCTCAATGAGAACTAACGTTGGGCGTCAAGGCTTCATTCCTGGGCAAATAATGGAAATTCTTGTCGATGTTGACAACAATTATCGAGTTCCTTTTCGTAATGTAATCGGTATATTATTATTTTAAGTTTTATCTTATGTTCAGATGCGTGCGAAACTTGTACAACATGTGAAATATAATGCAAAAAGACAAGCTGAAAATAAAATAATTTTGGTTGGATTGGATGGAAAAAATGAGGAGAAATTTTATGAGAAGAAGGTCGCTGAAATTAGCCAGGCAATTCAAATTTTGTTTGTTTTTTTTTCTTTTCGTATATATTTATTTCAGAGAGTAAATATTCCATGTGGCAAACTAACACAGGTTTCTCTTAAGTTTGTAGTTCCGAATGTGATCCCATCATTTAAAAACTGTGAAATTATTTCGGTGAACTATAGAATTCATGTAGCACCAACATATGAATTTATGAATAGCTATTTTTTGAGTTTAGGTTCGAATCGACGCTGCCTTTGCTTTCGGAACGTTTCTTGAAACCGAAGGACCAATTATTATCGGAAATATAGCCCTGAGAAGTTGCCAACCGGAAACAACTCCAATTGTTGAGCCAGTAGCTATTACTTCACAACCATCATCAAGTGTTCTTCCAACGACAGATATTGAATGTTTAAAAATATATAAATTTTGTTTTCTATAATAATATCGATTCAATTTTCAGCTCCTCCGTCATATTTGGAAGCAGTTTTTGGTTTCACTCAAAAGGTTTGACTCACTTGTCATTGCTTCCACAAAATTTTATTTTCAGGAAAATACTAACTCTGTGTACCCGAACGACATCGATAAGCAATAAAAAATTTTATTTAATGTTGTTAACTTTTTAAATAGGATCACAGTTCCTTATTTTCTTCAAATCGATTTCTGTGAGTTTATGAAATTCGGACTAAACACGAGTTCAATGGTGTAAAAGGAAAATGCTTTGAAAATTAAAAAGTAAAAAAAGGCAAAATTCTCCTAGTAACGGCTGTTAAAAATCTAGTGATTTCCTATTTCTTGGAAAAAATAAGCGATCAATCATCTCATCAATCTACACGCTGCCGCGCACACTCATCCTATTGCTACAGTATCCGGTTCTCGCTCAGTTCCTAATGGACTTATTCGGACACCTGGATGCAAAAAACCGCTTGTAGACGAGCAAATTTTCGTCTATTTTTTGTATGAGTCATTCTGCCAAATATGTCTTGACATAAAATAATCGAATATGCATACGTGGTGTGTAAATGTACAATAATTTATAATCAACTGTTGAAATTATTCAATGGTGAGTTTCGTTCCAGTTGGCGGTAAAGGGTCAACATGCACACCTTCTGGCAGTTCGAATTTCACTGGAAATGGAACCGTATCGTAGACAGCCGAATCAGCCTTGGTTGCCTTCTTGATGATGAGAGTGGCTGGAGCTTTGACGGAGTAATTCGAAGAGTCGACCTTCTTTCCTTTCTGGAAACAGAACTTCAATTGTCTCACATGTTCGGGCGAAGTTACCTCGTCAACCCAATGTCCCTTGTTCGGTCCTTCGAAGTTCCATGTCTGCTTGGAGTTGTCGTCAAAGTACCTCACGAGCGCTTGCACCTTTTCACTACCCAAATCGAGCTCGATCTTGTTTCCAACCTTCTCTAAAAGGCCTCTACCATAGAGTTGCCCATAGGCGACAGCGGCAAACGCGCACAACAAGATAAGGGATCTCATTCTGCAAGCCGAAAAACGAAAAGTATAAGATATTCGATATTATCAATGATCCCTTCTCGCTCTTTTATACCTAGCCAACCAGGAAGTGATTGAATCTGTTTCAAGGTTGTGAAAAAGATGTTTATCGAGAAGATCCGCTGAACACAGTCCTTACTACATCTAGACGACGAATGTCGTCAGCCACACGCATCTTCGAACATTTTGTCTGGCGCGAACGTGATTGCTTAATTTTGGATAAAAATGCAATCCAAAGCGCGATTCAGTGACGACATGACAAAACATTTTCGAGTATGAACGTGATGTGCAAAATGATCCAGTTTGCTCCATCTGTTGCGTCCCATTTCGTATTCGCCACGTTTTCTTTGAGGAAAGAGCAAATTGAAGAAAATGACGGAATTCCGACCAACTCTCAGGCTCACAAACTCTCGATTATTAATATAGCTGCCACCTGAAATTTCTAAACATTTTCAACAACCAACAGCAGACGTTTCATAAAATTGGCGCCGTATTTCGAAATTATATCTTACATACAGATCACGTATCTTAAAAATTGCCCGAATTTTATGTTGTTTTGACCTTTTACATACTCACAAGTTGACATTAGGCTCGTTCCTTCAGCACATTTTTCGGAAATACAGAGTGTTAGAATGTAAAAATGCAAAAAAAAAATAAAACATTATAAAAAATATGAAAAAAAAAGGTGACCGTATAATTTGTGGGTAATTTTTTTCACATTTCTCGAAAAAAAAGTAAACTCTCCTTTGTTTGCTTACGTTTTCGTTTTGAAACCCAAAAAAACACAAAATTTCAATCTTCGAAACTGACATTTTTAAAGTACAATGTAGTTTAAAATTGAGTTCAATTTATCTGTGTCGAGTTTGATCAAATTCATTTTTTGCTAAATAATTTAAACGCTGTGTTTAGCAGAAAAAAAATGGTTTCATATATACATTAGAAAGAAAAAAAACTGCATATCACTTCCGCGACTTCCATGAAATCATATAATTCCGGTCTCAATTAAACTAAAGCACACGAGTTTATGTGATCATTGTGTTGTTATCACTTCAACCAAATAGATAAAACAAAATGAAAACGTGCTGGCAGTTCAGGGCTCCATCATGAAACTGCTAGGTGAGTGAAAAGCAAAAAAAATGAAATTTACTATTTTCTTCCAGTTTTCGTGCTTCTCATTGTTTGCATTTATGCAACTATTAAGGATCTTGGATCGCCGAATTGGAGTTGCGATCAGAAAGTCATGGCAAAGTTGATTGATGTTTTATGATTTATAAAACATTGTTCAATTTTTAGAAGTAAGAAAGTGCCGACAAGTGCCCACAGCGTGAGATTCGCTGATATCAAGGTGATCGGAGCACTCGGCGATTCTCTTACTGTAGGTCAAATCTAAAGACACCTTGAATTTTCGAACAAATTCAGGCAGCTAATGGAGCTGGTGCACCACCTGGAGATCCATTGGCTGTTATTCTCCAATATCGAGGACTGGCATTCCAAATTGGAGGCGACAAATCTTTAGATGAACATATCACCATTTCCAGTAGGCTACCTCCAATTATGGAATTCCAATTGATTTTTCAGATATTCTCCGCAAATTCAATCCAAATCTTGTGGGATATTCTAAAGGAATCGGCTCTGAGAACGTATGGGAAGTTGCTCATTTGAATATGGGAGTACCGGGGGCAGAATCGAAAGATATCATCAGACAGGCTCGCAATTTGGTCAACGCAATGCATTCACACTCGGAGGTCAAATATAACTCTTTCAGACGATTTTCGAAATGACCAAAGTATTTTAGATCAATGTGAAAGAAGATTGGAAACTCGTTAACATTTTCATCGGCGCCAATGATATCTGCGTTTACTGCGAGGATCCATACTTTAACAACACTGTAAGTTTCGATGTAAGAAAAAAAACTGGGTTTCGGGTTCTCTTGAAAATGTTTTGAAAGACTTTTCAACACTATTTTTTTTTTTGCTAAAATTTCATACGGTTTCAGGCTCCACACGGTCGTACGACTTTCGAACACAATATCATGCAAGCTGTGCAGATTCTTCACGACAATCTTCCACGAACCATCGTTTCTCTCACCGGAATGTTCAACATGAGAATGTTGCGCAAAATCGACAGAAAGAAGTATTTCTGCGAGGGATTGCACGTGTAATTTAGTCATTCGTCGAAAAATCTGGAAACGAAATTACAGTTTCGAGTGCGACTGCGAATCAAACAAGAACTTCTCAGATGACGATATTCAAGACGTTTGCTTCGGATATATGGTATCATGTTTAAATATACATATATACGTATATACTTGATATATGCGTATATCATGTTTAAATATACATATATACGTATATATTTGATATATGCGTTGCTTTTGTTTAGGGTGGTGAAAAGGACATTCAAGATTCTGGAATGTTCGATGATCGTGAAGATTTTACTTTCGTAGTTCAACCATTCTTCAACGATATCGTTGATCCACCATATTCGAGTCCGGGAGTCGTTGATATGACTTTCTTCGCTCCCGACTGCTTCCACTTCTCTGCTTATGGACACGGTAACATTGGAATGCATCTGTGGAACACTATAATTCAGCCGGTAATTCGAAAAATCAAATTCAATCCCTAATATGGTTTTAGGTTGGTCACAAGCAGACCAAAGTCAATTTAAGTGATCCTTCGGTCGGAGTTCATTGCCCAAGCGTGGTATTTCCTCTTTTTCAATTGCAGAAAATATTCTATAAATTTCAGAATTGCCCATTCTTCCCTACAACGAAAAACAGCAAAAATTGTGCCTCGTATTATACTTTAAGCGAGCTCGAATAATTTTTTATTAAATCACACAACATCGATAGTTATTTAATCGTTTCAAGGGTCAATCGGCGGAATGAATATAACAGAAAAAAATAAAATTCGTTATTTGAAATATTAAAACAGATGAATTAGTTATAAAATTTTAGGTCAAACCAAAACATAACAAATTCTAGCGATCGGGAGTCGATGATCCTGAATCGGCGCGCTTCTTTTTGGGCGACGGCGAACGCCCTGGCGGTGAGCCTCGCGGTGACGGAGTTCTTGACTTTCTGTCGCGACTTCTTGAACGATCACGAGACACCGAGCGGCTTCTCGGTCTCTTATCTCCTTTTCTCTTTGGAGATCCGCTGCGGCTACGCGAACGACTTGCAGAGCGACGACGTGGTGGTGGTGAGCGACTAGAACTATTCAAGTTATAAAATAACTTTAACATTTAATATACCTGCGTGAGCGACTACGAGACGAAGAACGCGATCTTTTGCGATCACGGCTACGACTTCTTGATCGCGACATACTGCGTTGAGTATCGTCGAAGCATTTAAGCTTCCTACCGTTGAGCTCTTCTCCATCCAATTTGTCCATAGCTCGACGTAAATCGTCGTGGGAAGAAAAACAGATGAGACTAAACCACGAATAATTAATTTTGAAAGATGATTTATTGGCGTACGCCTCATTAAGCTTCTTCTTGTGCGCCTCAGAGTAGGTAGGCTCGATTCCCATTCGACGAATATGATCCTTGATTTCCTTCAATCAAAACAGGGCTTAGAAGGGTTGGAATTAAAACGGGGCGCCCGCGCTCTCATTTATTCTTTCTCAACAGTGATTGACCATTGCCAATTTTGAGACAGTCAGGAAGAGGCCAATGTGGACCAAGGTAATGCAATTGACTAGCAATGGTGGTTGAAGCACGCATTGAGGTTGAAAACAACTATTTGCTGGACCAATGAACTAGCAACACCCCAGATTGTGCTGGATAAATTTTGAAATTAATAAATATATCTCAAATTGCTGAATTTCAAAACAGTTGTTAGTTTCACAAAATCGTTATCTTATGTTAGCCGTTTCTTATTCCAATTTTTACCTGCCATGTGTAGCGAGTCGAAAGATTCTCTATGATCAAACGGAATCGAGTTGAGCACGGTCGACCATAGCGGCTGAAATTTAAAATTATAAGCAAATATAGTTTGAGTTATATATTGCCTCTCTCGCCGACCATAGCTTCCACCGCCACCACCTCCTCGTCCACGATCCTCATTATATCCCACTTTTCGTCTGGGAAATTCCAGTATAATCTTCTCGCCACATAGTTCCTTTCCATTTAGATCATATATTGCGTCATCAGCGTCTCTTGGATCATCAAACTCCTGAATAATAGCAAATCGTAAAACCCTAATTATAATTAAAGATTTACCACAAAACCGAAGCCATTTTTCAAAATTATATCAACAAGTTTTCCATAACCACGGAAAAAATGCTGGATGTCTTTTTCGGTTGCTCGGTTTGGTAACCGGCCAACATAAACTCGTGACATCTAAAAATACAAAATATTAAAAAAAAAATGGTGCTTCAAAAGGAAACAGCTAAAAATGGGATCGATGTAAGCACGCCAGCCTCTAATACGAAACATAAAAGTGGAGAGAAATAATCAATCTACGCGCGACGGGTTGCCATAGGAAAGACGCCGAGCTGCGTTGTCGTGCCGTGTCTGCGTCACATTAAAAATGGCTCGAATCAATGGCGCAAAAGATGCCAACACTGATCGAGAAACGTGTCAACACACGTATGGCGCATTTTCGGTGTGACGTGTCGTCGCGTGCGCGTTGCGGCTAATTTGGGAAGGCTATTTTTTTGGCCACGCGGTTATCCCAACATTACATTTTCCTTTTCTCTCCGATTCCAGTTTGTATTATTTTCGATTGTTTCTACAGAAGAACGCCGCAAATAACGCTTATGCGTTGTTTTTCGTAGAATCTTTTTTTATTACGTCAGAATTTCGACTCAATAATTCGCTATTGTTTTATAGAATGACTACCCGTATTTACATTGGGCGTTTGACATCTCGCACTTCTGAGAGAGATGTTGAGCATTTTTTTCGTGGATATGGACGCATTCGTGATATTGTCTTAAAGAATGGATTTGGATTTGTGGTTAGTAAAATCTTATTTTTACTTGTTTATTGTGGTGAATTTCAGGAGTTTGATGATCGTAGAGATGCTTATGATGCGATCCATGATCTGAACGGAAAGGATCTTGGTGGTGATCGTGTCATTCTTGACTTTTCCAAACCCCGTGGAGGTGGAAATTCACGTGGAAGATTTGGCGGTGGACGCTTTGAACGTGGACCACCAAGACGAGAAAGGTAGGTACAGTGGTACTTGCTAGTTAATAAGGTAATTTTGCAGCCGTTATGGACGTCCAATGTCCACTCGCCATCGTGTGCTCGTTGAGAACCTTTCTACTCGTATTTCGTGGCAGGTAAAAAAAAATAATCCCAAATTTTGGAACAGTTCTTGTCCAGCCATGATTTTGACCAGAAATCTTTCAAAATCTCAAAAATATGCGTTTGAAAACTAATTAATACACTATCCAGAATCTCGTTTGCGTTGCCTTGGGTGATATGGCGGCAAATGGCTAAATCAATGATTGCTGTTGGCACACTTTGGCGATTTTCTTGTCTTCCCCGCTATTTCTGTGGAATTTTGGTGTAAATGCCCCGCTCGTTGATCGCGATCAGTTGATTTCGCTCGATAAAATATGGTCTTGGTCCGGTGTTTGTGTTGATTGGGAATACTGAGTGGTGACTGACATCCGTCTGAAGGGAACACAAATCGGTATGGTATTCCACGTGATTTTGAAAAATTTAGGATATTAATGTAGAACTCATGATATTTAACTTTCATTTCATAACGCCTTAATTGAATTTTATTGGTTCATATTAACTTAATTTATTTAGGACTTGAAAGACGAGGTTCGTCGCAATGGCATTGAGGCAACGTACGCTGAAGCTCACAAGGCAAAGGCCAACGAAGGGTATATTTAATAGTTCGTCAACATTAACAAAATAATTATTTTTAGTTTACTTTGCTTTGCAAATCATGATGACTTGAAGAAATGCATTGAAAAATGCGACGGGCTTGAATTAAACGGAAGAAAGATCAAGATGATTGATGATAGTGAAGCTGCAAGATCGCGCAGCAGAAGCCGTGAAAGAGGACGTAGAAGCCGGTCTCGTGACAGTAGCAGATCTCGAAGCCGCTCACGCTCGCCGAAGCGCAATCGCTCAAAGTCCTCGTCTCGCAGCAGAAGTCGCTCTAAGAGTTCTGAAAGGTATATAATAAACATTAATGGTGCTATGCAGATTATATAGAAAGCTTTAAAAACCGGATTAAACTAGATTTTGGACCAACTGTCTATGACTGTTAGAGATTTTTTGCGAAATCCGCGTAGAGAATTGCAATTATTGATTAAATTTCAGAAAATCGCGTTCGCCATCGCCAGCCAAGAAGTCTCCATCTCCAAGGAAGCGTTCGGCTTCACCAAGAAAGCGTTCGGTATCTCCGCGAAAAAACTCTGCTTCGCCAAGAAAGCGTTCGATATCTCCGCGGAAAAACTCGGTTTCGCCAAGAAAGCGTTCGGCATCTCCACGGAAAAACTCAGCTTCGCCAAGAAAGCGTTCAGCGTCTCGATCGGTTGAGAATTCGCCGAAGAAGAGAGATGATCGATCAAGAAGCGCTTCACCAATGGAAGAAGACGCCAAAGAAAATGGAGATAATTAAATAACTTGACTTTCCTATACTTACGAAATTCAACATCTATCTTTAAAAATAATTCCATTTCTGAATTTCGACATCATAATCCTTTACATTATGTTTTTATTTGATCTCCTTTACCAGTAGATGTTGATCATTTGTTATAAATTATGATATATACATAAAGCGAAGATGAATAACATTAGTGACTGTGGCAGAGTGTTGGAAGCCGATTCAACGTATTTTAGATTAGTGATGAAATCGTAGCCGAGAGTTGAGCGTAGATTATCCCAAAATTGACAGTCGGACCCGAATAGACCTGAATAAATGAAAAATTGCAAGAGCTGATAGCGCATTACCGTGATCGAGAACAGGTTCAGGAAGAACTCGAACGTGAAGAAGTGTATCATCTGTTTTCGGCCATGTGAAGTTTTCATTTGATGGGTTTCTTAAAGAATTGTACTTAAAGGTATTCTGAAAAGTGAAATTACCCGGTTTTTATGAAATTAATCAAAGCAGAAACGAAGAATTTCTCGACGAGTTTGTCATTTTCATTGAATTTGAAAAAATTGTCTTTGTAAACATTCCACACATAGGGAAATTCTTGGCAATGATACGTCGCTTCAAATATATTGACATATGAATATTAACACAGGAAGATGTTTTACCTTTTACAGGGAAATTTGGATCGAATTCAGCATCATTGAAATATTCGAAATGATAGACAAAAATGGAATTTGCAAAAGGAAGTTTGTCGCGAATCTCGCGAAGAACCGGAATGTCGAATACGATATTTGACTCAATCTGAAACCCATTGCAAATTTCAAACATTTCATTTTTCGAGTTTCTTTTACTTTAGTTTTTTGTCTCATAAAAACCGCATAATCGTCATTTGATATGTTGCTAGGAATGAAATAATCGGAAAGCAAGTTCAGCGCTTGTCCAGCTTCAGCTCCAAAGCGGAGAGCAACTGTTGTGTTGAGATAATCTTCGACGGTTGAGCGATCGACGTACGGAAAAATTTTTGGAGTTGTTTTTAGATAGGCTGCAAAACTTGAAGAAACTTTGAAACTCTGAATGTGCTATAACTGAAAAATAAAGCTTCTAGAGTTTGAAGACCAGTCAAAAGATTTTTTTTCGAAAATTCTTTTAGATTGACTTCAGGAAGTAAATCGTCTCCAAGTTCTGGAAACAATGCAGTGCCAACCTGAATCAAAATAATCTTACATGGAACTGTTATTTCAAATTTCCAACCTGAGCCGAGTAAAGTTCGTCCAATGATTTTCCATTAAAACATTCCTCGAGTTCCAATGCGCTATTATATTCACAATTTAGATCTTTCAAAATTCTGAAATTTAATTTGTTTTCCACGATACATTTGATTTTCGACCTTTGCGAATAAATTTTGTTATTATTCGCATATCGACTGAAACTCCATGCTGATCCGCTTAACTGAATATAATTGTCAAAGAACTCTAAACGAAATAATCTGCGAATTTTTGAGAAGAAAAATTACGAAATTTTACTGGAAGATATAGGAGATATCGAATGAAAACTGGTGCTCATAGCGCCGGCGCTATGACCCATTAAGGTCATTTTCTGAGAGTCACCGCCAAATGACGAAATCGTTTCGCTGATGAATTGGAATGCGAGTACCTGAAAATTGGAATTGGTTTTATAAAATGCTAGTTGAGATGTCCACTTGATCCCAGAGCCCTAGATTACAGGTTAAAACTGAAGAGTTTGCGCCAAGTGTCAGGAATCCTGAAACAAATATATTCCCCCGTATTTTTCGGTTATTAATAGATCTACCTAGAGCTCCTAATCGATATTGTATGGTAACTAATATTATCCCTTCAGGTACAAACTTTTCCGCAAATTCGGTATTATTTGCATCATTTGAATCACCTAAAAGTGTATTGTAAAATTTTTGCGTATATAATTTTTTTCCTTCTGCGAATTCTCCACCATGCACAAAAATCACAACAGGAAAGGTAGAGGTGGCCTATAAATTATTAAAATAAGCGAAATTCTCTCTATGTTCGAACATCTCGATTAGCTGGAGCGAAAATGTTGAGGTATAGGCAGTCCTCACTGAATCCATCATCAGCAGCTGGTCGGATGCTGGGAATGCATTTTGCGGAATAATTTTGAACCCGCTTGATGTTTGGCCATGGGTCGACTATCTCGGCTCTCTGAAAACATTATTGCCACCATAGATGGTTAAATATTATAATATTATTGCGATGAAATAGTGGCACACCTGTAATCTTTTAGGCGACTTCGCGAATGGTACTCCAAGAAAACTGTCTACATGTGCGCCTTGTCGTGTTTGGAATCGCTCTCCCCGCAAAAACCCAAATTTAGTGTGAACTACAACATCCTCGCAGACAGTCAGAGCGAAAAAAAATGTCAAGCGAAATATCATGGATCTCTGTGTAAAAATTGGTCAAAAATCGCGCAATAATTAACAAGACGTAAAATTAAACGAGCAGCTTGTGCCAAATACGTCGATTCGCGGGTTATCTGTAATAGAGTTAACTAATTCCCAGTTAAAATTCAATATGATGATCCTCAAATTTTCAGGGTACTCCATTTTTTCCGATGGTAATACACGTTTTCGTAATCCAGTTGAAGTCACTCAAAAAATATAGGTAGAAAGTGCGAGGCCATCAATACTACGTATTGTGTATTACTTTTGTTATTTGTGAAAATTTCGAAGAATGGATTTCAAAATTGAATTCAGGACTTAAAATTACATATGTTACTATTCATGAATTGGTCCATTATAAGGCTACCCCATGAACGGTCATAAATCGAAAGAGAATACAAGCAAAGTTGGTTTGGGGAAAAATTGGCGGAATTCCGCCAAATTCTGCTCTGAATATGCCACGATAGCCGATTTCGTTTATACATTTTATTAACTACTGACGTTCGATTTATGTGCATACAAACAATTGTGATTTAAATCACAAAATTAAATGAGGTGAGCAGCAAAAGAAAAGAAGAAATCAACAGCAACTGTGTCTGGAAACATATCAATTGCACCGAAATGGGTTCTCTCGAACCTCAATGCTATTTATGAATTAATGTTACCGCGTGATGATAACGAGCCGGCAGGCTTCATTCTCAAAGAATATCGACCAAAGCATAAGTTGCGGCTATGAATTTCAAAGACAAAAACGAAAAAGTTTGAGAACTTTAGCGGTGGTGAGCAACACAAAATTTTAAACAGTTCGAACCAAACTCGAACTATTTGAAAAAATTGAAAAGGCGTTGAAAAAAATGTAATTAGCGAAAAAATGTGATTAGTGTTTGCGGACCGTTCTGATTGGTGTTTGCGGACTTAGTCTAATTTTTCTTGTAAATATGATTCATCCGTAAAAAAACACGAGCGTGTTTACGGCTTCACATGTTATCCGGAGTACGGTATTTGAATTTCCGCTGTTTAAATTCAAATTTAAATTATAGTCCGCGTCTGGCGACGTACAGCAGTCGCCGTACGCCGACTAAAACAGTAGTATAGAAAAAATAACGATTTTCCGAATTCAAACAATATATGAAATAAAAAGAAAACAAAAACTCGTGGCCAGGGCGGAACGGAATCATGTTTCATTGTTTTCCGCAATGGGGCGGAAAACAATTTTTCTTTTTCCTGTGTCTGACAGAATTTCGTAATTTTTACCTTCGAAGGCAAAAATTATTTACTTGCAATCCTCGTCGTGCTCTCTTTTGGCAACGTTTTTCTTCGATGAGAAACGGTTCCAGTCAACGTAATATGAAGAGAATTTCACACCAGAAGTTTATGGGTTTGACCAGGAATGAGACAATATAAAAAAAGAGATCTGTGGTAGATCAACCTACAGATCAATCCATCCAAGTTTCAAATTAGTGAGAGGATGCTGGAGCCATGGCACGTGGTATAATCAAGATGGGAGCGTCGTAAATTCCCAATTTTACACCTACAATATATGTCAGTAATTGTAATTGTGTCTAAACAAATCTACTAATAAGACGGTTTTCTAATTTAGTCCCTGAAGTATAAAAAATATCGAACTAGGCTAACAAGGAAAATGTTTGTGTCGTGGTTCTAAAAATTGTCTCATTAATTGTATTTGAAATTGGCGATTCTAAACACCTTTATTGTTATTTATTATATTCATCCTAATGACATGCTGACTTTTACTGAATTCCAGAATTCTCCAGATACCACCTGAGCTTTAGATATTTTTGCCTTTTTCGCCAATGGAATGGAAAATATTCATCACTTTAAGCTTTTTTTTTTTCGTGAAATCGTCCGTTCTATCCAACTCTGACGAGCGATTTGTATGGAAAACTCAAATTGCAGCTCATTAAAATGTTCAAGTCGACTGAAGACGACGGCGATGCGAAAAAATGACTCGAAAGGGAAATACATAATTATGATGTGTCGATTTTGTGCACGTTGAGCAATAACCGCTCGTAAAATTGGTTCAATTATGGATATATTTGACTAGTGCAATTCATTTCTCTCCGCATCTATTATAAGCATCATTTTCAAAATTATTCGTTTCATTCAATGCTCGTTTTTGGAAAATTTTTGATTTTTAAAATATGAGAATGTTGTTTTACAAATATGCAATTAGCGATTACACACCAGCAAATAGTAGGTTGTGAAAAGTATTAATTTTGGGAAATTCAGTCATCGTTTTTCCGATTTAAAAATTGCTTTTTGCTTTAATTAATGAATTGAATTGACAACGGCTAACAAGGTCACCTAATCATTGCTCATTATAAAGTGTACAAATCAATTTTCCAAAATAAATGAGATAACTTGATTAAGAAATTAAAAAAGACACAAGAAAACTCTGAAATTTTCAACATATGTAGCCATGGCCGCGGCCGAAAAATACTTCCAGCCATGTTGTCGGCCGTTGCCATAATTTCTCTCTGAATGTAGATAATTTTGCAGTTGTCGACAATTATGAATTTTTTATTTGCCTAATTTTTCAGGTACTTTTTTAAAATTAAGGTCGATTTATATTTACTTTTTTGGTTTCAAATTACCGAACGAAATTTCAAAAAAAATTATTGGTTATGTGCCATTGCGTCTTGAGGCCGCGATAAGTATAGTCGGCGTCCGGGGACTGCTGTACGCGGGTAGATTTACGGGAATGCGTCTTTCGTAATGGTCTCGCAAGGACCACAAATTTTATGGACCGGTTCGATAATTTTTTAATCGAATATCGTTAGAAACTCCAAGAAATGAGAAACTCATCCAGAAAAATTAAGCAGTTCACATAAAAACAGCAAAATAGGCGTTCACCCGTGGCGAGACCTTTTCAAGGCGCATGCGCGTAAATCTACCCGCGTACAGCAATCGACGGACGCCGACTATACGACATTATAGCATACGCTCATAACGATAAATCTAACTTTACGTTGATCCCGCAAATTTGAAGGTCTTGCCTCTCTTAAGTCGTATGACGTCGACAATAATTGATGTTCATATTAAATTATTGGAATGAGACCAAAGAAACTGTAATCTTTTCGCTCGTCAATCGCTGTAAGTACCAGAACGTGATCTTGAAAGGAAACGCGCCGCACCCTTTAAATTCAATGAAACGACAAGACAATCGAGACATCAAATACGATTCAATTGGACGTTCAACACCGCAAACATTCATTCCTGAGCTTCAAATTAACCCAAAATACATAATTCAATCAATTTGATTTCTTTATGACATAAAAATTGGTTTCTTTTTCCCATAAAAATCAATAATTGGCCGACGTCACGGAATTTCTCAAAGCCCCACGTTGTTGATACCAAAACTGGCGCTACTCAATATTAATTGCTCGCACTTCTTTTTCCAAATATGGTTTTGTTCTCGCGCAAATTCCTGGTAAGCAACCAATCAAAAGAAGCTGCGGCGACTAATTAGTATTGCGGTCATATATGTACACAACTATACATCACATATATATATATATAGATATGTAGATATATCCAACTTTTTACTCACTCCTCTTTCGAACTAAGTATAAATGGATGGAAAATGAAGAAACTCGATTTGAACACCCATCGCCGTCCTCTCTCCGTTTTTTCTGTGTTGGCGAGTCGTCGTTTTTTGCGTTTGGTCGACAGCCTAGCCGCGGGTTCGCGTTCTTCAAAATCTATCTATTCCCAAATGTGGAGAGAAGACACCCGTTGCACTTTTTTCAACACTTCTATTATTTTCTTGCAATTTTTCTTATGTTGCAAATTATAGGTATGATGATGAAATCAAATAATAATCGATTTATAACAAGTGTTTTGTGATGTATGTCAACATTCACCGAATGAAAAATCAATCAATCAAGAAAAATTTCTTTTTTTTTCCTATCATGAGTGACAACATTGTTCTGGAAATGCAAAGTGTTTTATTGAAAAACATTTCTGATGTCGAATCCAAATAGGATTAACCACTCAAACATATACTAAAGCTTATTTGCTTTTTTCGTTTCCCACCAATTTTTTATGCATCGCCTTTCATTGTTGTTCTGATAAGCGCATGCATTCTTAGAAGTACGGAATTGATAAAAGAAATATAAATGATGTTTGCATGATACAGAAAGTTTTAACATAATATTTAATAGGTTAAAATCATACGAAATTTAATTCTAAATTTCAAAATGAATTTTCACAAAGGGAAATTGTGAAACATTTTAGATAAGTCTGAAAACGGATCATTTTTTCCAATCAATCATTACATAGAAACTACTAATAAATTTAGCGTTGATTTCACCTGGTTTTTTGATAAATCATAATTCAACTAGATTCTCTAGTTATTTAAGCAATGTACAAAACTAAAATCGCTATTTTTTGTGTGTAAACGTATCTTGTTGAAGCTTAAAACATAAATTTCAATTTTCTATCGAAGGGTAAAATTTTCAGACGTGTGCTTAAGTTCGTCGTCCCTATTGCCATGCCATTTCCGCAGAGTGCTATTATTTCAGAAAATTATTCCTATATTTAGCATGTTTGGACTATTTTTTTTTATGTAACAAGTGACTTCTGAAGTTTTCCCCACAGTTTTGTCTTCTATTATCGCTTCTAATGTGTTCTCTAGAGAGCTCAAAGTAATGAAGGGCTGATCCTTTAATCTGTTAATACCAATGAAAGTCGTTTATTTGAATTCGATGACAACTAATCAGGAAACCACAAAATGCAACAAAAAATATCAAATTCTGTTGGCTGCGAATGCGAAAAAATTTCACTCGAATTAGATTTCGCGATTAGATAATTAGTCATTTTGCCCAAAGATGCGCCGTTTTTATTTGTTCTGAACATTTTTTCTTTTTTTTTTTAAATAATCACGTCATTCCTTTACTTGAATATATATCGTTTGGTCATGTTCAGTCGGTCTCATTTTCTCCATTTCCTCATTTTGCGTCAGCTTCTGTTTCTTC